GTCTATGGATAAGTTTATTGACTAGTCTAATTTGTATTAGTCTACTATAAACTAGCTTAAGGACTAGTCTATGGACAACATAGTCAAGGGATAAGACAAGAGACCAATCTAGGGACAGTATCTTATCTATTGATTAGTCAAGGGACCAGTATATTTACTAAACTAGAGATCAGACTATGAACCAGCATAGGGACTAGTCTAGGAACTAGTTTATTAACTAGTCTAGGGATTAATCTATGTATTAGTCCATGGCTTAGTCTAGGGACTAGTATATTGACTACTTTAAGGACTTGTCTATTGATAAATCAAGAGATCAGTCTATGAATTGGACTAGGGACTAATCTATGGCCTAGTCTAGACTCTAATTTATTGATAAGTGTAGGGATTAGCCTAGACTATTCAAGTCACTAGACAAACTATTAGACTACTCTAAGGACTTGTCTCTTTACAAGTCTACGGACTAGTTTCGTGACTAGTATGTTACAGAGCTATGTACTAGTCTATTAACTGGTGTAGATAATAGTACATTTACTAGCCAAAAACTACTCTATGGACTTGTCTACTAAGTACTCTAGGGACTAGTTCGTTGAGTAGTCTATTTACTAGCCCAATTGCGTAATTGCAAATAATTAATTAAAAATATGTTCCTATAAACCTGTTCTGGCAAATCGCATTTGTTTATGCATAAAAACAACTGTGAATATAGATTATAATTACTGCAAAACAATATCTAATGTTAATAAAATATTACAATATTTATATAAGAAATATTTTAAAAATTTATTGGCTTTGGCTAAACACGTTTATATATTAATTTTTAAAATTATGTAAAAAAAACATATATTTGGCAGCCAAACACGAAATTTTTCTATCTTTGCAAAAGCAAATGTTTATAAAGTAAACAAGAAAATATTATAATAAAAAATTTCAAAATAAAACTAACATCCAACTAAACGGGATTCATAAATGAAGTAGGATTATTTGTTTAACTTTAAATTTATAAAATAAAATAATAAAAAAAAAATAAATATTTTCTGGCAATATTTAAGGATGCATAATTTTGGCAGTTACTTTCGAATAGTTTTATTATTTAGAAAAAGAGGAGAAAACAAATATATAGATTAGTGCACTATTTGGCAAATAAATTAACTATAGTACCTTTGTTTTTTTACCATAACCCACTCACAGTTGGACTTAATCCAAGTTATAAGTTTCAACAGCCAAAATAAACAAGAAAAACTTTTGTTTGGTGGTGTTGTAAACAAAAACACTTTAGGCTTTTTTTGCTACAAAATAAAAAGATAAAATGCTAGCAGATAAGAATTAGTAAGTAACAAATAAATAAATTAAATATTAAATTTGTTCATATGTCAATAATAACTCGAATATTTTCCCTTAATTAATTTATGTTGCAGCTATTTACATTTCAGCTAACGTTATGTTTACATTTATGTCTAGCAGTTGTATTTGCTTAACTTTAAGATAAATTTAAGTTTTGTATTTAATATACAAATTATACGACAGAGTAAACTTAACACAATCCCCCTGTATTATAGAAAAAAAACACAATAAACTACAAAGGAGTTTATGGTTAACAAGAGTAGGAAACAGAAAATGAAACAAACAATAAAAGAGACCTCCATCCAATTCCAAAAAAAAAACTCCCAGAGTCACAACGTTGAAAACGCAAAACAAACTTATACAAATGAAAATATACAACAAAGTAAACGGGTATATAAAAATCTATGTATAGTACTTACATACATATGTAAGTATATAAGTGTAAATATGTGCCCATATGCAAAATAAATTAAAAAAAACAAAAACACCAGCTGCTAGGCGAACTTACACATACGTTACAATACATATGTATGTACATATACACTGTAAACATTGATTGGAAGGACAACGAACGATTACTGGGTCTACAAATAACTCCTGTTATTTACTGCGTCTACCAAAAAAAAAAATAAGAATAAACATGACTGCGTGTCTCCATACAGTTAGTCACAATAAATAAACTCATACTGCCTTTTGCCTCCAATTCTTAATGGTCGCTTTTAACGTCTGCCTTTAAGTCTACCCCTTTTACACGCATGCTAAAATAGGTTTGATTTTTATTCACAAATACATATTTCATTTATGTTTTATATTAAAATAAGAAAATATTATTGTTTAAAGGTTTAATGCTTTAAAAGTAAGTTCAGATTAATAAAATATTTGACGAAATATAACATATTATATATTATTCAAATATTTTATTAATCTGAACGTAACTTAAGTATTCTCTAAAACGTTTAATGCCAAGGGAGCAACAAATTTCTTTAAGTGTTGTCAACAATACAAATAAAATGGAAAATACTTTTGTAAGTTCGTTCAGAACTTTTTAAGAGTAAATTACTTTTCTTTAAATTTACAATATATAAAGTTATAAATTATTAATTGCAGTCTGCAGCGCGTTTTAAAAACTTTACAAGTTTTTTAACAGGATTTTGAGAGACATGTTTTTCGAGCATATATTAAGAAATAAATACATGGTTTTTCATTACTTAAACCGAGTTTTGTTCAAATCGCTTAACCTCTTAATATTTTTATCAAGTTTCGAACTTAAAAGCAAACTTAAAGGATCTGTCCAAAGACTCAGTAAACAATACAATGTTGCTATTGATAATTTCAATGTGGACAAATTTAAGTATCTATGTAAACATCAAGAAAGGAGTTAATGTAAAATACATAAGAGTATATAACTATATACATGTATGTAAGTATCTGTGCTTATAAGCAATTATAACCTAAATCTTAAATCAACTTTCGGGAACTGTTTAAAATAACTAAAAAGATATTAACATGTTTGACCTTTACCCTAACTGAGCTATAGCATTTTATGGATCAGATTATTAGGAAATCCTATAATATGATTTCTTCACATATAATAGATATTTGTACTGGCTTTTATCCTCTGTTAGAGAATTAGAAAAAAAACATTCCATTCGTTCTTAAATCAACTTAGTTGGTTATTGCTTATAACCACATATTATCCATAGTGTACAAGTACGTTTTGTAAACATAAAACAATTCAATTTTTTTTTTGCTCGCAATTGGTTTAAGTTTTCTTTTGTTACTTTTTGCTTTGTTACGAATTTACTCAATACGGTTTTTTTTTGGAAGCTTTCAGCACTCAATTGATGGTGCCAAGAGCCACAATTCGTTATTGTTTGTTGTATGTTGTAATAAGAGATTGACAAAAAAAAAAATAAACAAGAGAGAAAAAAAATGTAAATAAATATGTACATATTGTAAATACTTGTATGTACATTAGACTGCTGTCAAAATATGTAATGAAAAAAATGTCGACTAGAAGGATAATTTTAGGTTAAATGTTCAAAAGTAAAAATAAGGGAAGGGGTTTTTTTTGCTGAAAAAGAACTAGTCCTACAACTTTTTAAAAGCTATTACAAAAATAACTTCCTGGAGCGGTTGTGAATATATAATTCTATAAAGAGAAATTATCCTTTCTCTGGTGTAGAAATTTCGACATTTCAATCAAATGTTGAAATTTCCATTTTCTCTTTTTTCATTTCTGAGTATACGTTTTACGATTGATCGATATTGCTCATACGCTAATATGTTTCATGCAAAAAATTCATTTTAAATTATAAAAATACATAAAATGTTTTAAGTGCAATAATTTTGAAAATAGCACAATAAAATGTCTTTTTGGTGGAACTAGGTCCAAGAAATTAAACAGATTCTAGCAAAGAAAGTAGTTCAAATATCAAATAACCAAGCAACAATATCAAATAGCCTGCTTTTAACTGAACACTGAACAGGTATTGTAAAGGATTTTCTCTGCGCTAGTCTAATGTAATTTGCCTCAGTGTTAATAAGAATAAAAAGAGGCAAACATAAAACCAAAAAAAGGGTAAGAAAAAGTAAGTAATGGTTTCTTTTTAAACAAAGGATTTACTTTACTTACACATATTTATTTTCAACAGAATTACCCAGAAATATATAATTATATGAAAAAAAAACGAATATATATTTTTAGGCAAAAAAAATTTTGTTCAAATTTTGTCTTATATACAAAATTATATAATCGTTTTTAGGTACTGTAAAAACATGGAGTGTATTTATAAAAAAAGAAGATAAAATAATGGAAAATAGACTTAAAGTAATGTAAAAATAAAGAAAGTAAAATTGAATTCTAAACTACATACATTTGTATGTACATTTGTTAAGGGGGAATGGAATTTTAGTTAAATTTTTTCTTAAATTGACACTTTCAAATATATTTCCAATTTTGAAATTAATTTAACTAACTTGCAGATTTCATTAAATATCTAAACTTAAACCAACTAATTTCGTATTCAAACAAACAAATTTTGAAATTAAATAAAAATGGCATAACTCTTAAGTTATAAAAATATATTTGCATATCTTTGTTTTGTTGTTATAATATGCATTATACAAATGTAAATAACAATATAATATTGAATAAAAATGCATAAATTTTAAAAGAAATATTCAATAAAATCAACACGTTTCAAATACATATTTGTTATCAAATAACCACGAATAGTTTTTATTACAAATTTATGTATTTTATTTTCAACTTTCATTTGAAACGGAAAATGTATACGTAGTTTAAAAATAAGTTTAAGAAAATAGTAATGAATAAAACATTTAAGTACTGGCTGTAAAATAAACAAAAGCTGTTTTTTAATTTTTTTTAGTTTCTAGCGTTAATTACACTTAAAGTTGTAAATAAAATTTGAAACGAAATAAAGCTGAATTATGAAATGTAAGCATTATTACAAAAAGTAAAAAAAAAAAAACTACCCAGTAGTAATATACATTTATTAAAAAAAAATACTAAATTATATGAAAGTTAATACATTTTATAACAAAAACAAACAAAAGTTGATTAAATGCCAAGAAACCCATGTAAAAAAATAGAAAATAAACAAAATATTGTAAAAATATGAAGGAAAATTTCCCACCTTTATGATAATTTCTCTTTTCAAAATTTATTATTGTTACAGTTGGGGCTGTTGTTTGTTGGTTTATTGTTGTTGTTGTTGTTTTGATTTCCTGTTGTCATTAATGTTTGCAAAAAATATAAAAAACTTTATATTTAAAAAAAAAATCTTTTTTTAAGGTTTTCTAAAAACGGAAGTGTAGTAGAGTAAGTTTTGATGATAAAATAATTTTCACTAACACTTAACTAAATTATAATGAAATTTTAATTTTTTGCCACTGTTTTTATTTAGCGTATAATTTTATTTGAAGCAATTTTTTTTTTTATAAACATTTAGATTTATTATTCTGCATAAGGCTCTTTGTTTGATTTTATTTAAAAGCCACAATTTTTAATTTATTTTATTGTAACTTTTTTGTGTAGAATATTATAACTTTTTTTATTAATACACTTTACTTCCGTTTTGTTTTATTTTTCTTCTATTGTTTTCATTTGTTACTGTCAGTCAATTTTGTGCTTCGTCTGCCTATCTTGCTCTCTCTTTCTATAGAAGACTTTGTTCATTGTTTTGTTGCTGTTTTTTTTTTGTGCTTTTGGCCTTTTATAAACACGTATGTATGTAGTATATGTTTGTTTATATGTATATGTGCAAATAACACTGTTATCTTTTGTTTATTTTTTGATTTTAATTTTCTTGTGTTTGTATACATATATATTTTTTAATATTCACTTATATGTATATAAAAAAAATAAACAAAAAGATTAACACAACACAAGCTAAAGTGAAGAAATAATTATATGATAAAACAAGTTCTACGTTGTTTATTTTTAAGCGAACCACTCACGAAGAAAAATAAAAACACAATGTGGTGAATTGTCAAATGTCTGTTGTCTTTATAAAATGTCAACAATTCGTATGAATGAGCCAGAGACAGCAAAACAGCAGAGAATGAATAGTGGTGCTATTGTGAATGATTATTTTATAAATGACATAGTGGTAAGTTTAAGTAGAAATAAAAACTAAGAGATAAATAAACAAAATAAATAATAATTAAGTTACAAAAAAGAAAAATACATTAAAAATTATTATCTTAACATAACAATGTTCGCCTTTAAAATAACTATTTTAAACTATCTATTTGTTTCGTCATATTGTTGTGCCACTGTGCCGTGGTGAGTTTGTTTTAATTAATGCAAATAATCCCCCTTTCCTTACTCTTTAAGTAAAAATATACACAAAAACATGCAATAATATGATTTCTTCGTAAAATTGTATAAATAAATTTTAAGGGACGTTTATACAGAATCTACATTTATACAAATTTCTATAAATTTTATGACTGAACCGAAATCTTCAATTTATTATCTTATAAATGCATATTCTTTGAAGAGTTAATGAAAATTATAAAAAAATAATACAAAAAACTGAAAATGAAAATTTTTCATCACTATATAACCACCGCCGCACCCGTATATTGACTAAAGCGCCCTCACACTAACCAAAAAACAACAACACAAACAAAAAAACAAACCCCAAACATGTATATATACTACAATGCAGCCCCACAAAGAAGGAATTCTTCATTACCACCTAAGAACTGTTCAATTTTTTTGAAAAATATTTAAGTAGCAAATAGTAAGTAAATCTACTTTCATGATATTTTAAAAAGATAGTTGAATCGATTATTTTATTATTGGCTACAACGAATTACTCATTTGTTATATGAACATCAGAAATATTTTCGGAATAGAGTCTTTAATGAGGGCTTAGATCAATTATGGAAAAATATTTTCCGAATTTAAAGGAGTGATGAATTTGTATATTTTTATATAACCTGATATTCTGTAAGAGTGATTATATGAGCAGTATGATCCATCACAGACAGATCCACAAAAACTTGAAAGGTTTAATTCATTCCCATAAATCTAGTTTGTGTCAAATTTAAAACTTGTTTATATTTTTAAGCCAATTATGACTGTTAAAAGTGTTTCCGGGGGTTCACTTGACTAGTTGAAACAATGAACCGATATTGCAATTTTTTAATACTAAACAAACCTTATCAATAAAGAATATTTGTGTAAAATGTCAACTCTCTAGCACTCTCTCTAAACTGGATGAGCTACTATAGGATATACGTGTAAATATCAAAAGTGGATACCGTCACGATGAATGGTACATTGATACTCTAATGGGTGTCCCGGTATCTCGCTGTAATACATTTATTCGGCAGAAACTATACAAGTCTTCCCAGATCAGATAGTCAACAACAACAAGGCAGGCTTGGCCACACTAATATAACCTTAGTTGGTTGTCATTGATATGACTTTCACGTGTGCGATTACTGACAGCCGTGATGTCTGATCATTGGTTTGCATGCTAGGAGATTGAATCTTCCAGATGTTGCAATAATGAGGATGATGAGGAGACGGAACACTTTTTGTGTCTGTTTCCTGCCGTGCCGTGCTAGATCCCTTCATTCGTGCCACAGGTTGGTAACCTACCATAGACACATATGTATGTAAATCTCAATTCGTTAGGTCGTGGTTTTAATCCATTCGGATATCACAATGGAATCCAAGTGAGTCAGCATCACGATGACTGTCTCTAAAGACTAATCTAATATAACCTAGCACCTTCCGTTCGAACTCTATCGTGCTTTTCACAGACTTTTAAGGGGTCCCTTGACAATATTTCGATGTGTTACAAACGCCTCAGAATGCTGACACCATAACAACAGGCTATCGAACGAACCTTGAGTGCTCATTGCATTTCGCTGCTTTAATATAATCATATCGCCCATTTACATTAAGTTATAACATTTTACTCTTTCGTAAAAACCCTTGAAACAAATCAAGGAATTTGGAAAGTTAACCTAAATTTAAATATTAAAGTTTAATAAGTTCTTATTTGATTCTTAACTAAATTTTTACTTGTGAAATAAAGGTGAAAACCAGAGTTTTAGTATTGAAGTTTTGTAGGAAATGAGCGATATATGTATATAGAAGACGTAACTAGTAGAGGTTTCTAAGCAAAGAATACATTATTGTAAATATCTGATATAGTATGCTATATTGGGGGGACGTACATACATACATCTACATTGATATTTAACTAAGATTTTTATACAGAGTATAGAGTAGTTGGAGTATTCAAGCAAATACACAACACTTCACTTCCTTTAATACATCCAAATATATTACATACATACATACATTCATATATGTATGTAAGTTTATATATTTCTTTTATAAGTTACATACTTACATACATACATGTATGTATATTAATACATTGTACTTAGTTAGGTACATCTATATGTATATATGTATGTATGTATGTATGTAAACATGTATAGTACACAATTTTATGAGATTTTTAACTTTTAATTCTCTTCCAAAACTTTTTTAATTGATTTTTTACATTTCTTTTATATTTATGTCGTTATTATACTTTTGATATTGAGTTGTTATTAACTTTTTTTCGTTCTAGATATATAAAGATTTTCTGATATACATACGGACATCTACTATGTATATTTATTTTTTTATTAATATTTTTTCTTATTATACAGCCCGTTTACCAATACACAGAGTTATTCTTTACATAATTTATATACACACACTTATACACTCTTTTTTTTCGTATTTTATTGTGAGTTTTTTTTTTTGTATATTCATGAACAAAAAAATTAAAAAAAAACTTTACAATGTTGATTTGGATGATTTCATTTCGTCGCTGTTTTTATTATTTTTTTTCTTATTAATTCACACAAACGAGTTATAGAATGAACGTTTAGTAAATATTATTTATAATTTTTCATTTGTTTTGTTTATTTTTCTTGCACATTTACTACTGCATATATTTATATGTAATTATATATGTATTTACTTTTTTTAATGATTTTGTGGATAGAAAATAGAAAAAACGAAAAATTACGCTGCGGTTACCTTCTTAACACACCTGAGTCCCAAAAACGTCTGACAGATACGTAGAAAATTTAGTATATTATATTCCACTAATTCACCACACTTTAGTGTGTGGCTCTATTGTGAATTAGATATTTATATGAAATGACAGGTTACGGACAGGGTTGTATTTGATAAGAGAAACGGAAATTAAGTATGGAATGTTTAAAGTGTTTCGATTTGTTTGGAGAAAATAACGACATTTTATATTTACCAGTGTAAACAGGTATTACATTTTTGGTAATTTAAAGAGTTATTATTAAAATTTTATAATAAAACACATTATTTATATATTTTCAAAATTTTTCTGCAAAAATGCATACATAAAATAATATTTTCAATTTAATCTAGACTTTTTTTATAATTTTTGTGTCCAAAATCGGAAATTTGATTCTTCACCAAACACTATATTATCAGCTTAAAAATAAAATTTCACCACAAATCCGCAACTTCAACCAAAACTCAAATTTCCCCCAAAAACTTTATTTTCACCACTGAACAACAATGTTAGGCATATGTTCTAACTATTTTAAATCTCTAGTTAAAAAATATGCCAATATCTTATTATGATATTAAATTATATTAAATAATAATTTATTTTTAAATATTTCTATACAAAAAATTAACATTTTCTTACTGCTAACAGCATTTCAAAAAAAAAAATTATATTAATACTGTTGTATTTTAACAAAAATGAAACTTTTGTTCACAAATTTTTAAATTTTACAATATTTTTATATCTTCAAAATACTTTAAAAACACTTTTAGTCTTTCGGCGAATTTGGGATTATGGAAAATAATGCGTCTATTTTTCATAGCCTCCTCAGTTTCTAAAACGAAATTTTCCGGATCAGCCAATTCGGGATGTTCGTTAATTAGAATGGGCAGTAAACAAGTAGCTGTAGCTAAACCTAAATTCAAATATATAATATATAGCTTAATAATATTTAATATATTAATTATTCATTTACTAACCATGAAAGCCTTTATTAATAATTTCCTTTTTAACATCATCTACCGTAGGAATACGTTGTTGATAGTTCAGTTTATGCAAAATATCAGAGAGTGATTCATGATAAACCATAATTAAATCATCCAAATGATTTTGAAAAACATCTGCCTGCCATGAGGTAAATAATAAATAATTCCAATCAATACCAGGCGAACCATAAAAACCTTCTTGAAAATCAATCTGAAATTAAATGAAATTTTAAAATATCATTTAAAAAAATGTGTGTTTTTATACTTACAAATAATACTTCCTCTTCGTTGTTAAACATCAAATTATTCACCCACATATCACCATGATTGAGAACATGAAAACGATCCGATAAATTACGACTATAAACATTTATCATTTTTGCTATAATGGTGGTACTAAAATTTTCTAATTTTTCAACATATTTCTTCAATTCCTCTTGGCTATTACAATATTCTATGGTCGATTTTATAGCTTTCGAATACATTTCATGTATTGGTGAGGGATGTTCGGAGATATTACCGGGTAAGTGATAACGAAACATATCGGGATTCTGAAACATGGTATTGTTCATTACGGAGCTTTTTTTGACAAAAAATTAATTTTACCTTTTTATACAAAACCATACTGACAGCATGAAATTTTGCCAATTTTTGCAAAACTAAATGGCATTGATTCAAATTAAAGCCCTGCTTGACTTCATTCAAACAAAAGCCCTTCAGTTTTAAGTTTTCCATAACAATTATACGATCATCCACATAAATAGCTCTAAAATAGATTTTTTTTTTTTACAAAAATTTTATTCATTTTATAAAAAAAATATACTTACTTGGGTCCAAATACAGTAGTATCCTTGATGTCATCTAAAAGTTTTTGTGTTTCTTCACTTATAACCGTATAGTACTGAGTCTCTCGCGCAAATACATCAAAATCTTCCTCTAATTGTGACATTAAATCATTTTCTATACGTGTTTTCAAAATGAAACAATCATTTTTCGACACTTCCTCGTTCGTTTCCAGGCAATAATCCACTGTCAACAGATACAAGGCACTAAAATAGTTTTCGCCTTTTGTGGTGGCAGGATTTTTGGTAAAATTTTTAATAATAACATTATCATTGTTGCAATAATGTTGTATAATTTTCTTTACATACTCCTTGTCTAGCCATGAAGGCTCTTTCGAGGAAGAACAAGTAGGCTGTTGTGAATCATCCATTTTTTTCTTTCCGTGTTGTTCTAGTTTTTAAGCTTAAGGTTTTGTACCTTTAGTATTGTTGTTATTTGTTAGTTTTAAATCTATAATTAATTATGTAGGTGTTGATAAGAAATTGTGTTAAGTATAAATAAATTTCAAATGTATAGATAAGATTATTTGCTAAAATAAAATAAAAATATATTAATTAAAATATTTTAATGTACCGTTAAATTTGAGCATTCATTCATATAAATAAAAGAAATAAAAGTTTAATTAAACTTATTAAACAGTTTATATATATATATTCAAAAGCAAATGATCTGTTGAAATTTTCCTATTGTGCTACATAAAAAGCTACCCTAATATACAAATATTGTATGTATGTATATAGAAACTTTCATTGTACATTGATAGCTCAAGTTATTATATTCAATTAGTATTATTTATGTATGACTAAATGTGTATATAATTTTTTTTTCCATTTAACAATCAAACTTGACCCCTTTTGAACAGACAATAGAATATTTTCACCAAATGGTCACTCGACTACATTACGTAGAGTATACATTTGACCCAAAATTATGTATTAATTTTATTATACCCTACACCACTTTAGTGGGGAGGGTATATTGGATTTGTGCTGATGTTTGTAACATATAAAAATATTCGTCCTAGACCCACCTTAAAGTATACCAATCGGCTTAGAATCGTTTTCTGAGTCGATTAAGCTATGTCCGTCCGTCCGTCCGTCTGGCTGGCTGGCTGTCCATGTAAACCTTGTGTGCAAGCTACAGGTCGCAATTTTCTAGATAATTGGATGAAATTTGGCACGCACGTTTTATTTGACCCAAGGACGAAGCCTATTGAAAATGGTTAAAATCGGTCCATTATTTCACCTAGCCCCCATAGAACAGAACCCCCCGAAAAGGGCTTCTGAGCTCATAATTATGTTAAATATACAGATATATCGATAAAATACGGCACCACTAAGTTTTATAGAAGTCTTGATAACCCTGCCAAATTTCATAAAGATCGGGCCCCAGTTGACCCTAGCTCCCATACAAAGTCCCCTTCAGAAAATTACTTGAATGTCCCAAATTAACTTATAAACACAAATATCGCGATGAAATTCAGCACAATTAAATATTATGTAAATATAAATATATTCACAAAATTTTATCGGGCTTGGTCCATATTTGCCCCTAGTCCCCATATAAAGCCTCTTTCAGAAAATTGGTTTTTCATCCATAAATTGCTTAAATGTATCGGAACAAGGGAATATTGAAGATAAATGCGATATTATGAAAAATAAATCACATTTAATATTTATAACTGGTGTAGGGTATCATATGGTCGGCCACGCCCGACTATACTTTCTTACTTGTTTTTTTATTGTTCTAAATAAATATGTTTAATAAAAGATGTATTCGGCTTTACAGCTAAAACTATCTATCCGATTAATGAAATAAAAACATATCAAACAGTACTTGTTTATGTAAATATCTACATATATAGAAGATAAACATTACGCTTTAAGTACATTTTACGTACATTCGAAAAAAATTGATAATGATAATAGTTTATCAGCTGAAAAGCAAATAAAAGAAATTAGTTATCAGAGGCAATAAAATAATGACTTGTGTTTAATTTCTTGATTTAACACACAATTGTCGAAGTCGAAGAGAAATATTGAGACAAACTTTTATTTTTTATATTTTTTATACGTATCTTGAAAACGTAGTTCTTTTCCTAAACATATACAGTTGCGTTCAAAATAATAGGAGTGAAAATTTGAAAAATTTTGAATATAATTTTTTTTGTGAAAGATTTAGATTTTTAATTAAATATTTTTATAATTTATTTATTTAACTTGTTCTCTAATTTTTATAATCGTTATTTTAAATATTGAAGAAATTTATATAAATTAGGGTGTATGAGCCTCCGGAACTTAATGTCTTTCCGACAACGGTTTTGAGGGGCTTGATGACACATGTCGTGGCCGATTACCAACAAATATGCAGTAATTTATTCAGAAGGCCTTAAAAGATGTTATACCCAAGGTCTTTTAACGTTTTGCTTTAGAATCAGTAAGTCGACAACCATGTAATGGCCTACTTCCTATGGAACGAGCTTCCACCAATTTAGAATCAATAATGTTGTCATACGACAACACCGTCATTTTATCAAATTTGTTTCTTTAAAATATGAGAGCATATCTTGGGCTAATATTTGTACCTACAACATTTGGGGTACGATACCATTTTACAATTTATTAGACCATACCCTTTTTGTCAAGACCCATCATGAATCATTCCTATTATACAACTTCCTTGAAAGTTGGTTAGAGCTTAATATTTTTCGATTAATGGACTTCCAATATATTTTCTGAATTCAGTTAGAAATAAAAATATAATTTGTTGTCGTATTCATGCATTAAAATTTCATCCATTTATGAAACCACCTCTACTTGGCAAACTTTATGGATTTCACTATATGCTTTATGGTCTGAAATTCAATTTTTTTTAAAAAAGATTTGTTTAAAAATTAATCTGAACTAACTGAATATTAATCACGATGGTTAATTACTACAATTTCACTAATTTGGGGCACCCTAATGGGATTAATTTTAAACAAATGATAAGCGCTTATGGGAAACTCTTATAATTTTTGAATGAAATGTTTATTTTTTATGAGAGATTTTAAAATATTTGACTTCCTAAAGTATTCAAAAAGTCTTTTAATGAAATTACCATGAGAATTTTCATATTTTGTTCGCGATATTTTTATAATTTTTAGGATATTTGAACAGATTTCATTTTCGTTAATTCTGACATTTTCTTTTAGGATTTTAAATTAAATAATTGTGAACTGAGCTCAAAATCATCTAAATATAACAGTTTTATATGATATTTTTAATATTTACTACGAATAAAGGAAATTAATCTAACTTAGGTTGGATAATATACGGTACTCCTATTTTTTTGAACAGTCGTAATCGGATATGGATTTCGAAAAAAGTGAATACCAAAAAAACTAATGAACCTATTTACAAAATTTCATTTGTTTTGTATTTTAAACACTTAACAAATAAATATCGTGAAAAAATATTTGATTTCTGTAAATCTTTCTTTTTTAAATTAAGCTGCACAATTATTTTTAAGTTTCACTCCTATTTTTTTGAACGCAGCTGTAACTCCCTTAAAAATACCAGTATAAGAATGAAAAACGGTGTTATAGGAACAGAAATGTCTGTACTAAATTCTATGTGTATCGGTCCAATATAGGGTCCTTTCATTAACATTAATAACTGCCATAAAAATACCAGGATAGCGATGAAATTCGAAACAAACATGGATCCTAGGCACCCATTAGGTCCTCTTTAGAAAATAACTTTCACCTTCATAACTGGCTTAAAAATACTAGAATAGAGTCATAAACAAATGTTATGTTAAGTCCCATATTATTTAAAATATTTATATGTATTACAAAATCAAAGTCGATTCAATATTTTGTAAACAATTTTGAAAAACATTAGCATTGGTTTCCAAAATTTCTTAACGGTTCACTGATTCTTGAAAATTGCTTATTAAAACACTCATACCAGTATAAAACAACAATTAGCAAATACATAAAAACTTTTTTTCATCATTATTATCACTAGTTTGTTATAAACTATTTAAACCACATATTAACTATTAAACAAAATATTAATACAAATTTCCTTCACACGTTTATTATATGTGCATACAGTTTTTTAATAATAAATGTACTCTAAAGAAAAATAAACAAATTCACATAGAAAGAAAAAGAGATTTTTTCGATTGTGTAAAATAATATGTATTACTTTTTAAACACTTTATAATAAATTTTTAATAAAAATTTCTATTAACAAAATAAAAAGCAACGTTCTTAACGGCACGATAGTAAAGATTCGACTGATATTCATGAGTAATTTATGAGTAAAATTAAATTCAAACACTCTTTTTGTTCGTATATTGTATAAAAAAAAAATAAAATGTTTGATTGATCCGATTCGTATAGTGTTTTTATTAGTTGTTAGTATTTGTATCTGCTATTAACGAATGTTGATCAAAAATTGAAGTTTCAAATAGTAGATGGGTACAAGAAATACGTTTATGGAATGATTTGGTAATACTAAAAAGAGTTTCATAAAAACATTTGCTTAAAACAACTAAATTAAACTCATTACAATCTTATTTTAATAAATTCATTTATTTCATACTAAATGTGTAACAAATTTTAAGATTTTTCATTTATTGTTTATTTTTATACACAAATATATTAAATATTTAGCTAAATTTAAATACTATTTGCCAGAAACAGTATTTTAATTTAAAACCTAATTTTTCTAAACATTCTTTACTTTGCGTATCCATAAAAATGAGAAATATTTCATTGGTACAAAATGTTGATATGGACTTTTCTTTAAAATCTTTATCCGAATCTAATAAGATCCGACGACTTTGTAGCGACCATTTTAAAGTTGAGATATTCTTATTTTGTTTTTCCAACAAATCAAAAATATCCAAAACATTTTTACTATTCGAGACCACTGGCACCACCACCTCACACAAATGTTTAGAATCTTTTAAAGTTAAAATCTTATAAGATTTTTGGGAATATTTTGTTATATTTGCACATATCCATTGATAAGTAGCGCTATTCATGCAGGCTATCCATAGCTTGCCCTCAAATAGTGATATGGCTGTTTTGTTATCAAACTGTAGTTGACTTGATGAATCACATGCACGAAATCGATCAAAAAACCAAACCAACACCTCTTCACACTCAATACTACTGATAACGGTATTCATATCGCTGGAAGATATTATGGCCAAGTAATCTCTTATTTCAGGACTAATGGAATAACAAGGATGTATAGTGTTCTTATGGGAATTGTTGTTTGTGGTTGTAATTATATTCGATTGGATTTTGTTTAAATTAGAAGAATTGGTTTCTATTAATAATTGGTTGTTATTAGCGGTAGTATCTTGAGGTTTATCTTTATATTCCTTATTTTCGAACTTAGAGTCGATTTTGTTATTTTCTGCCGAAAGGATTTCCTTCGAGGGATCAATGGATGTTGGCTTTAATGTTTGACCAGAAGTTGGCATTGCAATATCCAAAGTTGAATATTTTGAAAAATTCTCCTTATTCGAAGACTCTGTAGAAGTTTCCTTTAAAGGTTTATTAGGTGCTAGTGCAGCAATTTCTTTGGTTGTACTTTTTGGAAATTCATCTAAAAATTGGCATACAGTTTCCGAAGAAGGGACTGTAACCTTTAATCTGTAGAAAATAAAAAATAGTAATTGCAAACTTATAAAAGAAGCGAAAATACCTACTTTTTATTTTGTATAACAATATTTTTCCTTTCATGTTTACTGCGTTTTTTGCCGCAAGATGAATCCGTACTACTACTGCCTTCACTATCTGAATCACTCAATTTACATGAATCCGTTTCACTATTCGTTCCCTCAGAATCTTGCTCTGTATCCGAATCGGCAATCAGTGTAATGGATGATGTGGAACTTGAAGGTGTCACCACTTTAGAACGCTGTTCAAGTTCCTGCTGCTGAGCAGCCAATTCATTAGTATAAACTTGTAGGAAACATACAAATTGAGGATCCTCATACTCATAGTATTCATCATAGGCATATAGCATTATCGCCGATCCCCGTACATCGCACACATCCTTTACATTCCAATTATTTTGGAAAACTTTTGTCAACGTACGCAATTCTTGATGTTCGGCTGGAACATCAACAAATTCCTCAATTTTCATTTTTAAATCACTAATGGTTGCATCATCATCAATAGAAAAATACGAAATATTCTAAATGAAAGTAAGGGCCAAGTAATGATCATTTTAATAAATAATAATCAATAAAACAGAAATATTTAAATTAAAAAAAATACCTTAAGTGCGGAAAGAGCCTTTAAATTCTGAGGTTCTAATTTAATTTTAATAAACATCATTTAATTAATTAATTTATTTTTTAAATTCTTTCTTTAAATACTTATCTCCCAAGTGATGAATCTATATAAGATGAAGTTCACTAAATTTATTTATTCTTTTGTATATGAAGTTTGACAGCAACCGTTTTTAATTATGTACAGAATTTGACAATATTAAATGAATATTTATGTACTGTTGACTTCACCTTGTATGATTTCTTAAGCCTCTCTTTTAATAAAAAAAACCCGTTAGGTTACGTTTAGTATTACTATAGTTGAGAGAAAAAGTCAACTTTTAGTCATTATTAAATTTATTAAATATTATTTTTAAAAATTGTTTAATAATCGATTTTTTTATTTTTTACATATGTATATATGTTTAATTTTCCGAAATTGACTTGTAAGTCAATAATTCACTTATAAACACTAGTATCAGTATGGTATCGACTCATATTTAACCCCTGTCCCCATATAAAACATTTTTTATAAAATCTCTTTTTTATCAACAAATTGTTTTATAATGAAATATTATCCACATTTTTAACATGCAGCTAATGTAGGTTATCATACATACATTATATAAATCTTACTTATATTTAACATAGATTATTAAATATTTCCTTCAATTTAGTTGATTTATCGACATTGTTAGCCAATTTCGACTTTTCGACTATTTTCTACAAAATGTCGTTAGTGGTGTTAAAACTTTTCCAAAAACTTTTTTTTGTGCTAACAGGAACTTGTAGTTTAAATTTTACTTAAAAAATAATACAATCTGCAACCCCTAAAAAACATTCAGATTACAACATACGTTTAGTCTGGCATCACTTTTATTGCACACCTGTCATTTTACCACTGACAAGTCGACGTAAGATTTTTTGTTGGATTTCTTTAGTTTTTTTTGTGAAAATTTATGGAAAAATTGAGGATTAGTGTATAAAAAGCTATTTAAATTATGTAAAAATATAACTAATGTGTATCCGATCATATACATTTATTCTAGAATTTAAAAATCATCAAAAGAAGTAATCATTTTAAGAAGTCTGCAGCTATAGCTACTTTAACTACTGACTCACTTTTTTTCTGTATTGACTGGTCTAAAAAATAGACAATTTTGTTGCCACAATTATATTTTTAACCGAATTGTAGACGCAAAGATGTCTTCTTCGGCGATATATGTTTTGGATGTGAAGGGAAAAGTGCTAATATCGCGCAATTACCGTGGCGATAACATGGATTTGGCCGTAATAGACAAATTCATGCCGTTGCTAATGGAAAAGGAAGAGGAGGGCATGATCACACCCATATTGCAGACGGCCGAATGTACTTTTGCCTACATAAAAACCAACAACTTGTATATTGTATCCACTACGCCGCGCAATAAGAATGTCAATATTGCGTTGGTGTTTGTATTTCTACACAAGATAGCTCAAGTGTTTATTGAATACTTTAAGGAGTTGGAGGAAGAGTCCATACGGGATAATTTTGTCATAATATACGAGCTTCTGGATGAACTCTTAGATTTTGGCTACCCCCAAACAACAGATTCGAAGATTTTGCAGGAATACATTACGCAGGAGGGTCATAAATTAGAAATACAACCACGTATTCCTTTGGCCGTTACAAATGCGGTTTCATGGCGCTCAGAGGGTATTAAATATCGCAAGAATGAGGTATTTTTGGATGTTATAGAGTCGGTCAACCTACTGGCTAATGCCAATGGAAATGTATTGCGCAGTGAAATTGTGGGTGCCATTAAAATGCGCGTCTATCTGTCTGGTATGCCCGAATTAAGATTGGGTTTGAATGACAAGGTTCTGTTCGAAAGTACTGGACGTGGTAAATCCAAGTCTGTCGAATTGGAAGACGTAAAATTTCATCAGTGCGTTCGTTTGTCTAGATTTGAAAATGATCGTACAATTTCTTTTATACCACCTGATGGAGAATTTGAATTAATGTCTTACAGATTGAACACACATGTAAGTAAATATTTACAACCAATATAATATGCAAACGGATAGGTATATATTTATACGTTTCTTTTGACTTAGGTAAAACCCTTAATATGGATAGAATCAGTTATTGAGCGTCATGAACACTCTCGTGTCGAGTATATGATCAAGGCCAAATCACAATTTAAACGTCGTTCGACTGCAAACAATGTAGAAATTATTATTCCCGTACCAGCCGATGCAGACTCACCGAAATTCAAGACCACCATTGGTAGTTGCAAATATGCACCCGAACAGAATGCTGTAATTTGGACCATTAAATCGTTTCCTGGTGGCAAGGAATATTTAATGCGTGCTCATTTCGGACTGCCCAGTGTTAAGAGTGAAGATAGCTTAGAGGGCAAGCCACCGATTCAAGTGCGTTTTGAAATTCCCTATTTTACAACTTCTGGCATACAAGTGCGTTATTTGAAAATCATTGAGAAGAGTGGTTATCAGGCTCTACCTTGGGTGCGCTACATCACTCAGAACGGAGACTACCAGCTACGCACTAATTAATAGTTGCTTTTAATGGAATAATTAATGCCTTGATGTTTCTTCTTTAAAATATATTTGTAGTTTATGATTTATTAACACTATTTTGCAAGGTTTATTTTTCTGTTTTTTATTACATTGTAAGATTTTATTCAAATATTTCATTAAGAAAAAAAAACAAAATTCATTCCGTATTAAATTCTTTAAATAATTGAGAATTTGCATAGGTATTCTTTTGATTATTTCGTGTACATGTATTAAAGTTTTAATGAAGAAAATAAAAAGACTTTGTTTTTATTTATATTTGACTGCTCTGTATATTTTCAGTAAACGGCTAAAACACAAAATATAAAAAATATATATTTTCGGAAGGAAATACAACATACACTTTTGTCCAATTAACTAACAACATTACATTATTTGGTTTTTAAAAATATACCCTCAAACAAAAATAGTAATTGCTTTAAAATTATTTACATATATGTATTTATATAACTTGTACTACTTAAATAAACTAATAAATGCACTTTAAACTAGTCTCTTTGTTGGGTCCGTTCATTTGAGAAAATGCTATAGAATTGTTCTATTTCGTTTAAGCTTTGAAGTTTTTAACGGGATAGTAATCTTTATGAGCTGCTACATGTTCTTCCAATTCCTTCAATTGTTCTTTCAAGTGTTGGGGCATTTCAGCATAAACACCTTCAAACATTTCTTTGTAGCTGGGTTTCAATTTCTTTTCAGATACAGAAATCTGTTTCAAAACCTGTTTGCGTACATCTTTAACAAAAGCGTTTTCTTCCTCTTCATTGAACCAACCCTGTTTAATCATATAGTTCTTAAGCTTGGAAATGGGATGTTCTGTGGAATTCCAAATTTCAATTTCCTCTGCCGAACGGTATGCAGTTGAGTCATCTGAGGTGGAATGATGGCCAACACTACAAAAGAACAAAAAAAGAGTATAATTAAAAAAAAATTGAATCAAACTAGGCAATCATTGAACATACCGATAAGCCATAGCTTCAAAAATAACTGGTTTATTTTCACGTAAAGTGTATTCACGAGCCATTTTCATGGCATTGTAAACAGCAAAGACATCAGTACCATCTACACGGATTGTTGCAATGCCATAAGCGGGACCGCGGGCGGCTATACCATCACCTTTATATTGTTCATGAGATGGTGTTGATATGGCAAAACCATTGTTGCGACTAAAAAGCAAACAAATATTAATAACAGAAAATCAAGACTCAGATATACAGCTACCTTACCAGAACATAATAACAGGACAATCTAAGGTGGCAGCAAAATTGAAAGCAGCATGAGCATCGCCCTCAGATGCAGCACCTTCACCAAAGTAGCAAACAACACAGCTATCGTTATTATCACGGCGTTTCATGGCATAGGCAGCACCAACGGCTTGAGGCATTTGTGTGGCTTTAAATTACAATAACAAATTATTACATTGTAGAATTAAACCAATAGATTAAAAGAAAAACTTACACAGTGGACTAGAAATTGTGACAAAATTCAATTCCTTGGAGCCATAATGAACAGGCATCTGTTTGCCTCTACCCAAATCAAGATCATTGCCATAACATTGATTTATGAATTGTTCGATCGTAAAACCTCTCCACACCAAAACACCAGCTTCACGATATTGACCGTATATCAAATCGCTCATGTTCAAGGCAGCAGCGCTACCAATATGACTGGCTTCTTCGCCAAAGTTAGTCATATAGAAGGATATACGACCCTGACGTTGCGATTCATATAAAATTTTGTCCATTGTATTTAGCAAAACCATGTCACGGAACATTTTCTGAACGACATCTTTACCTAATTTAGGATCTTGTGATTCATCCTTAATATTACCCTCACGATCCATTACCCTATAAATGGGTATGGGAGAATAATCTGAAGGCATAGTAAAACTAGGTTGTGTTACGAACGGGGCCTTAGCACCTGGAAAGTTGGAAGCATCTTCAGCATTTTCGCTGCTATAGTAACGCAATTGTGATGCAGCAGCCACATTCTATAAAACAAAAAAAAACAATATACAAGTGCTTATCAGATGTACCTACTTGTTGATTTCCAATTTGACATTGTTCTTACCTTAATTTGGGCTTGGATTTTCGAAGAACGTGCAACTGATTTTAATAAATTGGAAGTTTGGCGCAAGAAGGACATATTGGATAGTTTTACAAAGGGATATATTAGGGTAAATTTAGAATTTCTTTGCAAATTTTATAGAAACTAAAAATTTGATCGTGTTTCTATCCACCTCGAACACAACTGCAAAAAAAATTACATAATTTTGACAGCATTTGATACCTTTGATTGGCAACACTAACATTATTCAGGGTATTAAAAAAATAATGGAATGTTTTTATTTAAAAATGTATATTTTAGTGCTTTACCATAATTTTCAAATATTTCAATACGTAATAAAGCGATAATTTAATTTTATTTACAACTCTTTGCTGCAATATAAATATTTTACAACACAATTGAAAGTGTGGCCAACCATTTGTATTTCACACATCATACAGCTGTCAAATACAACAAAATGTAAACAAGATGTTTTTTAGACACGTTTAAAAGTATAGAATTAAAACATGAATCTGTGTAAACAACAATTTTGGAAAGGTATTTCCATTTTATTGAACAACTATCATGCAATCAATCGTAAATTATTTGCCTGCTCCATCATCGAAGTGCAAAAAATTGTTAAGGGTTTGCACCAGCTAACGTTAAACTTAAATGGTCAACATGAAGAGCTTATCAAGGAAAACATTGACAAATCTCTACTAATATCACAATTGTTGGAAATAAATAATGACGACATTATTGAAAACAATATCGAAGGATTTGTTGTGCATTTTAAATGCATACCCAAGAAAGGCGGTAATAGTATTCAAGCCGTAGGAATCTTAGGTATGGAATAAAATATCAGTGGGGAGTAAAATTGCTATAAATTTTATAACGGAAATTGGTTTAAAATATATTTGTAATTAAAATATTTAAGAATGGTTTACATAGATCACATATGCTAGGATATCCTACATAAATATTTAAATTTTGTACATCTATGTATTTAATTTTGTTTTTGAAGATCTTTTAAATACTTCCTTTAGAATGACATTTGAAAACGATTCGATGACCGATTTCGAAATTAAACTGAACGGAGAATTGGTTGTTAATATGCTTAATGAAAAGTCAGGATTTGACGTCGAAACGAGCTTAAGATGGTCCGAATTTGTACTGAAACCTAAATTTTACAAATGGTGCCAAAATGATGATAAACTGAAGTGCGAAAAGAACAATGATTCATTACGTTTAATCGATATCGAAAAGTATAATCGGCTATATAATGAGTTTAAACAAAAATACAGTGAAAGTGCAATGAAGGTAAGAATGTAACATCAGAAATATTACAACTACATAAATATTTGCTAATACTCAAAAAACAGTAAATCGAAGTAGTATGTACTGCAATAGACCAATTGTATTAATATCAGCTTAATTCTATCTATATTTTTTTAGTTATGGAATGATGCCAAAGAATCTACCGACCCCTTAAAGTTCATATACGAAGACTTAGCCATAGCTGCATATTTGATAACTCTGTGGCAAAGTGATATAGTAAATAAACCTCCTACAGCGTTTGCCGATTTGGGTTGTGGCAATGGTCTGTTAGTATACATACTCATTCAAGAAGGTTATCAGGGTTATGGTTACGATGTGCGTGCTCGAAAACTTTGGTCTCTTTATCCAGTTCAGGTTACTTCAAGTTTATATGAACAAGCCGTAGAGCCATTTAAATTTAATCTACCTCCCGAAGTTGATTGGCTTATAGGCAACCATTCAGATGAATTGTCTCCCTGGTTACCAGTTCTGGCAGCCACCTGTCATAAAAATATCAGCTACTTCTTATTACCCTGCTGTGCATTCGAATTTTCAGGCAATAAATTTCAACGTCGAAATTCATCGATTTCTGGTTATAAAGATTTTTGTGATTATGCTGAACTAATATCTAATACTTGTGGATTTAAAACTGAAAAAGACCGCTTAAAAATACCCAGCACTAAACGCATTGCTTTGATTGGTCTTTCGCGCAACGACCATATGGCTAGAATGGAACATATTAAAGCGTTTGTAAAGAATGAGCAGCAACAACATTCGAATTCGTCATTAGAAGAAATTAAATTGAGAGAAAAGGCGGAAGCAGTCAGAAACTGCACACAAATCGAAAAATCTATTATTGAAAATTTGGTCAAACAAATTTTCCTTTTATTATTAGAAGAAAGTTCTAATAAAGAGAAGACAATTCCTATTGATGAATGGCAAACGGGGGGTCGTTTGACAATGTCACAAATAGCTAGAAGTTTAGATAAAGAAAATCTGAAACAAATTAAATCCGAATGTGGTGGTTTGAAAACCTTACTACGCAATAAACATGAGATTTTCCAATTTCAACAACCAGATTTTGTTTTAATACGCAAACCACAACGGCAGACCGACAATACAAATAAACCTCAAACTGTAAAAAAGAGAGCCTGTTTCTTTAAGCTACACCATCCGCAAGGCTGCCCTTTAGCAGATGATGAATGCACATTTGTGCATTAAGACATTTTTGTTTTTAATCCATTGACAATATGAATGTTATTGTTTGTTTTATTACAAATACAAAATTTAATTAAAATTTATTGATATTTATTACAAGTTTAAATATTTCTTGTATATTTTTACATAAGCATAATTCAGAAAAAAATTGTAGTAAAATTATTGAAAGACACAATTCTGTGTTTAAGATTTGCAACCACAAAGTCAATTTCTTAAAAAAAAAAAAAACGATTTTTTTGTTTTTTTGTAGGTTGGTTCATCGGTTTGAATTCTCTCAAAGTGATGAAAATCTTAACGAGAACTGTCTGAACTATTGCTGCGTCGACGTCTGCGAATGGGTGAACGAGAACGTCTGCGTGGAGAACGACGACCTCCTCGAAGTGGTGAACGATTTCGATTATTACGATTAAAGCGATTGAATCGTGGTGGAGAACGCCAACGTTCATTTGGTCTGCGATTTATTGGCGATGGGCGACGTAGCGGTTGTCTCATCTTTGGATTTAGAACGGGCGAAACATTCACTTCCTGTCCATCAATTTGTCCACCGTCCATTTGTTTTATGGCATTTTCACATTCCTCGTGTGTTGCATATTCCACATAGGCAATGCCTCGTCCGAAATTTGGATGAAAACGGTCTGTGGGAAATTCAACATTTTTCACATCTCCGAAGCAGCTAAATATCTCAACAACATGTTCCTTGGTAACGTTGCGTGTTAATCGGCCAATATGTATACGTGTGGGCTTTGGTGTTGGTGAACGTTCTCTGGCCTTGCCTAATGGACTGCGGGACCTTGAACGTGTTCGCTCACGAGTTTTTGTTGTTGGACTGCGGGATCGTTCACGGCGTTTCGGTGGTGGTGATCGTGACCGAGAACGTGTGCGATCACGGGTTTTGGGTGGGGGACTACGAGACCGTGAGCGAGAACGCTCCCTGGGCTTAAGAGCTGGACTACGTGAGCGTTCACGACGCTTTGGTGGCGGACTACGAGAACGTTCGCGACGTTTAGGTGGTGGACTGCGAGAACGAGAATGCGAGCCACTCTTACGTGTCGAAGATGACGATGATGAAGATGATGAACTGCTTGAACTAGATGAACTTGATCGCGATCCTGAACTGCTACGTGATGAGCTGCTATCTGAAGAGCTATTTTTAAAATAAAATCAAAATACATATATTTAATGCTTCACTAGTTATATGAAGGAAGGATCAAAAATAGGTAAGTTCGAAAAGCAATGCCTTCTTCGCAAAAGCTTTTTTAAATCATACGGAATATTTTTTCTTTGTTTAATGTAAAACTGTTTTGTTAATTAGTTTGGTTGCAAAGCATGCGCTACTACATACAATACATATGCATGTATGTAAACTTGTATGTATTACTCAAGAATCTTCATTTCACTTACCTGTCACTCGATTCACTGCTTGAAGAAGCACTTCCTCGTCTTCTGCGATCCCGTTCTCTTCCACGATTAGAATTCGAGGATGAACTCACCTTGTTGTTACTGCCTTTTATACCTTCCTTGCTGTCTTTAACATCTTTATTCTTTTCTGTCGTCTCCGTAGAGGGCGAAAGATCCCGGGCCCTATAGAACAAAATACATTTTTATTTTAGCATGTAAAATCACTTATAATAAAAGTCTTACATGATTATCCTGTTATTTCTCGTTCAAATTTGTAATATTTTATTGTAAATAAAGTAAATTTTCTTTGAATTATTGACTTTTTTCAGCTAGCAATGGAGATAATTAACACAAGAATTTTTTTCGCTCAAGTTTTCATTTATAATTAAACGCGTCTCTTTTTTGACATTTTCTTTCACAGCCGGCAGTAATATGCCAGAAAGAAACAGATATAAGCATTTTTTGGATAGCAGATAATTCAGAGTTGCATAATTTAACCCTTAACCGTATAAACGTATTATACTGTATTCAGGGAGTAATTATTTCCATTTATTTATTTATTCCATTTATTTGTAATACATTTTTTTTCATTATTTTAATTATTACATTCATTTATTGAGAAGTAATTAGATTTTGTATATAAAATATAACGTCTTTAAATAATGAAAAGATTGCTAGAAGGGCTGAAAAAGTATTTAAGTTATAAGGACGGCTTACCAATAACAGTATATTACCTCACATATCCCTCAGAATATATTTTTTTAGATCCAGGTTTAGGAATTTTTATAAAATATTTAAAATTATTGAGACACTACTTTTTTATATTTTTTGCCCCTTTTTACCCGCTTTTAAGCTACTCATGGTGCTGGTGTTCTTAAAAGAGTTGGCAACGCTGAGTGTTATTATTTTTTCTTCGATTATCTGTGTTTTTTTGCAAACGAAGAACTTTAGAAAATTTAGAAGAATTCTAATATATGTATCTATAAGACAAATATTAAGTTGTAAACATAATAATAAGATTATAAAGTTGTGTTATTAAAAGTAATAACATAAAAATATTAGTTATAATGGAACCTATTGATATTGCCCGTCTGGAGGAGGCAGTTGTTGTATTTTATCGGTCGACATCTCAGGAACAAGCTCAATTGCATGAATGGCTTACAAAGGCCCAGGCGAGCACACAGGCGTGGCAATTTTCCTGGCAACTTATGCAATTAGGAAAGGTAATAATGAGTTTTATGGAGTTGACACGCCGAATCGATTTATTAACACACTTATTCATTCATAATACTTTCCAGAGCCAAGAAGTGCAATTTTTCGGTGCCGTTACTTTGCACTCTAAACTAATGAAATTTTGGCATGAAGTGCCACCGGAAAATCGGGATGAACTAAAGCAAAAGATTTTGGAGAAAATAATACAATTTGCTGGTGGTCCAAAATTGGTATTAAATCGTCTATGTATAGCGGTACGTTGCCCTCATATAACTCAAATAACTTTTGTAAACATGTTGTATATTTGTTGAAACAATAACCTACAGTTAAGTGCTTATATTGTCCACATGTTGGGAGAATGGCCTAGTGCTATCGAAGATGTAATCAACACATTTCAAAACCAACAAATACCAAATGTTACCAATGAAACTCAATTATGGATAATGCTAGAAGTACTACAGGCCATACCGGAAGAAGTAAGTGTAGTTCAATTAAGCAGATAATCCTTATAAGGTCTAGATCGTTTTTATATAAAATTTTCTAGATGCAGGCTATTTATTCATCCGTAAAAAGAACAACTCTACGTGCTGAGGTGGCTAAAAGGGCGCCACTAGTTATTGAAACTACTGAAAAATACTTACAAATGCAATTGGATAGACAATGGGATGTTGAAGCATTTAATAATATGACCAGGGCTGTAAAATGTGTAGGCACATGGGTTAAGTAAGTTTTCAGTATTCAATTAATGTGTATAATTTTACATTTTTTATAAATAGTTAAGGAAAACATAAAATGTTAAGTGTACAATGCAATTGTTCTGTTAACATGATAGCATGATTCTATTTAAATTTACTAACAGTTAAAGAATATCTTATGTTAAAAGTTGTACAGCTGTTAACTTAACATTTTTTAAGGAATTCAATGGATTAACAGTATGCATAACTATTATATAGAATAAGTAGACCTATTAGAATCAAAAGTTTTGAATATATATATAATTTTAAAAATGTGTTAAATATATTTTTTAGAAATATTGGATTTTCGATTGAAAACTGTGTAAATATAACAAGTATCCTATTGAAAATGGTCAATAAATGTTATTGGCCATGTACACAAGATCCCGAAGGCGATGGTTGCATGTCAGCTGATGAAAATGATTTAGCCGAAACGTGTCTCAAGACTTTAGTGAACATAATTATTCAACCCGATTGTCATCTTTATCCCAAAACGGCATTTGTTCTTATAAAAATGTTTCTTGATTCATTATGTGACATAACGAAAATGGAATGGAAACCTGACAACAATAACGAAGACATTGTATCCTATATATACACACTATTTGTGTCGGCAGTTGAACGTCACTCTCAACTTTTGCTAAATGGCATAACGACAACAGACCCAGAACTGTCTAATTTATATAGTCGTTTGGTACATGAAATACTTCAGTGTACCGATAAACCTGGCATTTATCCCGTTGAAGAATCTTGCAGTAGTATGGCATTAGGTTTTTGGTATCTTCTTCAGGATGAAGTTTTTGCCATGAATAATGAAGAAGAACGTCTTAAATGTTGGGAATATATTAAACCATTATATGCTCATTTGACAAGGATTTTGGTGCGCAAATCGGAACAACCCGATGAAAAGTCTATAGATAAATGGACTTCAGATGACCTGGAAAGTTTTCGTTGTTATCGTCAGGATATATCAGATACATTTGTAAGTATAATTTCTTCGGGTACATTGATCTTAATCTAAAAATTATTTTTAAATATTTTTATTTTTATAGATGTATTGCTATGATGTTTTACATGATCACATTCTTGACATACTCTCTGCTGTGCTAGATGAAACTATCGCCCAACTACAGACAAATCCTACCCAGTGGACGAAACTAGAGGCTTGTATTTATTCCTTTCAATCCGTGGCCGAACACTTTGATGGCGAAGAAACAAAACAAATACCGAAATTAATGCGTATGCTTAACGAAATACCCTATGAGAAAATGAACGAAAAACTATTAGGCACTGCCTTGGAAACTGTGGGTTCCTATTGTCAATGGCTTAAGGATAATCCAGCCTATATACCATCGGCTATAGAACTGTTAGTACGAGGTCTCAACTCTAGCATGTCGGCCCAAGCAACATTGGGTCTGAAAGAACTGTGTCGTGACTGTCAGTTGCAAATGAAACCTTATGCGGAGCCTCTTTTAAATGCCTGCCAAGTTAGCTTGACTTCGGGTCAAATGAAAAACTCGGACTGCGTTCGTTTAATGTTTAGTATTGGTAAACTGATGAGTCTCTTGACACCGGATAAAATTCCCAACTATTTGGATATTATAGTTAGTCCTTGTTTCGAAGAATTATCGAATATATGTCAAAATGAAGCTGTAAGAAAGTTGTATTCTTTTCAAGTATTTCAATAATATTTCTATTACTCTTTTTCGCAGAAAACTCCTCAAGCGCGTATACGCACAATATTCCGTTTAAATATGGTATCGACACTATTCTCTTCGCTCAACACTGATCTCGATGATGACGAGACTATTGAAGATCTTCAAAATGTCCAGCCAGTTTTAATTGTAATGCAAAAGACTATGCCCATATTTCGGCAAATAGCTGAACTATGGGTGGAAGAATTAGATGTATTGGAGGTAAGACTTTAAAACTTCAAGTTTACATGCAATAGTGAATGAAATCATTTGTTTTCAGACTGCTTGTACAGCACTTAAACATGCTATAGTAAATCTAAAATCAAGTTTTAAGCCAATGCTGCAAGATTTATGTTATTTTATTGTTGCCATTTTCCAAACTCGATGTTGTGCACCTACTTTGGAAATTTCCAAAACCGTAAGCATTCAAATATTCTAAAATTGTTATACTGGCAACTGAATATTATTCTGCTTTTCTTTTAGGCCATTGTTATATTTTATAAGGATGCTGATTGTAAATCATTAATGCAACAACTACTTGTGGAATTCGTTATGCATAGTTTTAAATTATTTGAGGTAATTTATAATTTTTATTCTGTTAAGAAAATTACAAAATTCAATTTTAGAATATAATTTAAATATTTGTAATGTAATTTATTTTCATTTATAGTCAACTCCTGAAAATGGTTTTTCAAATATTGCCGAAACAATCGAAATGTTTTACGCCTGTCTTATGCAAATAATTAAGAAAATACCTCAATCGTTAGATGACAAGGCCATAGCATACGATCGTTTAATATTTTATGCTTTAAAGGCCATGACATTACCCGAGAATGGTCCCATACGCACCAGTGTGCAGTTCCTATCACATTTCGTCATGCAATCACGTAACTATGCACAAATGACACAAGCCGTCTTGGCAGCTGGTGAAGAAATTCTACGCACGGCAATTGTTTGTGTAGCATGTGTTACTCCACGACAACAAGTGGAAAAATTTGCGGATATTTTTCTGGCTATTAACAAAAAATATCCGGCAGAAATGGCGGTATGGCTTAAAAACATTATACACGTAACGAATTTTCCAACTCCTTTAGTAGACGACTCGGAAAAATCGAAATTTGTAACACAAATACTAAGGTAAGTTAACGGTGTATAATATATAAACTTTTCAATATTAAGAAAACGTTTCTCATTTATTTTATAGGGAAAAGGTTAACAAGCGTTTGCTGCAACAGCACCTTACAGAATTCGCCATAAAAGCCAGAGGTCTAACGGATAAATTTCAATAAATAATATGAGAAAACAAGATCAAATCGAAATTTCTACAATTATTTACTATGTTAATATTAAGTAGAACTGTTTTTATTGTTTATTTCTTCTACACTTTTTCTATTTATGAAAAATATCCATATTATTATACACTACTATACCATTTGTGGTTATAAATAAATGACAAACAAACGTAATTGTAATTTAAATATGTAGATGCAAAATTTTATATTTTTGCTTATTCGCTGTACACACACACACACATATATATATATATATATATATATATATATATATATATATATATATATATATATATATATATATATATAAAATCATGTATGAGTATATACTAACATACATATATAATTACACATACATATATACTTTAAAGCGAAATTTTCAAAAATCATTTACTTTCACATCAAAGAACAAACAACAATTATGTACTCGTATAAAAATGATCTGCGATTTTTATTTAAATATGTGTAGCTTCTAAAAAATGTGATAAATAATTTTATGTGTATGTTATAATTTATTAAAAGTATAAATTAAGTGTCAAATTATATAAAATATTTTAAAATGCATTAAACACTATAACCCCCGACCCCCTAATTATCATCATCAATGAATGTGTCAAATATTAAGATTTAAACAAAAGCAACAACAAAATAAACACTTAAATGTTTTATTCTGTCAAAAAAAAAAAAATTAAATTAAATGTTTTATTGAGTAGCGAATTGTTAATAACATATGTATTTGTCTCCTAATTTTCACAAAAGAACCGATTTCAACAAAAACTCGATTCTGTAACAATCACGTTAATTATTTACAAAAAAATCGAAAATATTAACTTTACCCCGTCTATTCTATAGTCCAAAGTCTAATCAATAGTCTAGTCTATAGTCTAATCCATAGTCTGTAGTATAGTAAATACTCTAGTGTATAATCTAGTCTTATAGTATATATAAAACGCAAACGGCCCTATCTAACATTTTTAAAATTTTACAGGAGAAGCAAAAAACTATTTAAATTGAAAAGTTTGTTTCTATCAGCGCGATTTATTTTTATAAAATAAACAAATTGTTTAATGGTGAAACGTATTATTTGTTATGACAGTCGACATTGGCGTACATAAAAATGGATAAATTGGATCTTTTACCTTTAATATTTAAATGTTTTTGTAGATAGGGCCTTTTGTTTTTTGTCAATAAAATAGCTAATTTTGGTCGGAGGAGTCTAATTTATTTTGTGGACATTTGTTTTGATGCAATACATTAGAATCTGCAATAAAATCGATTTTAGATTTTTGGTTAGTTATGGCCGTTTGCGTTTCAGGTGACGATATGTAGTCTGGTCTATAGTCTCGTTTATAGTCTAGTCTATAGAATTGCGTGGTCTATTGTCCAGTCTATAGTCTGTCTTTCTATTCGAGCTGAAAATTAGTTTAGTATGTACTTTAAAACCTAACTATCTACCTATATATCTATCTTTCTATCTATCTATCTATCTATCTATCTATCTATCTATCTATCTATCTATCTATCTATCTATCTATCTATCTATCTTTCTATTTTATTTTTTAATTAAAGAGTAAAACTGCACTTAATGGGACAAAAATTATAATATTATTATTACCAGTGCACAGTGAGACATTTGGCACTTTTAGAACGACATTAATCAAATCTTAGTGATATTGAGTTCTAATTTTAGTTACAGTTAGCAAACAATTGGCCAAACGCTCCACATAATAATCAGCACGATAAGACTGCTGCCACGCCCATTTTTTACAAGTATACATTGAATAAAAATTAAATTTTTGGTCGCATATATCACAAAACTTTTGCAATCGATTTTGAATTTTTATATATTTTTAGAAAGACAATTTTATACAGATTGTTATTTATTTATAAGAAAATGCAAAATATAAATATTTGTAGCACAGTCTCTGCAAAAAGTTAATAAAACCCATTTTCCTATTTAAACACATTTTCACCGTTTAGATACTGTTTTAAACGGGTTAGTATTATCCGATTTGTCTCAAATGCTCTGCATTACAGTTTAGTGCATGCTCTTCTATAATTTTTAAAAACATGCTTTATATAACCACCCTAATGAATATTAGGGTTGTCACTCTTAGACATTTTTATCAAATTGTACAAATATTTGCAAATAATTGAATGCAACATTAACAAACAATTTATACTCTAATTAAAATTTAAAATAAAATATAAATTCCGCCGTTTTTACAAAGAACAAAATAAATTTATAATCTATGAATTTAAACCTGGAAATAAACAGAAAATTTTACTTTTTAATTAAAGTTATGACACCTGATTGGCTTAAGTAATTTTTTTTAAGAGCACTAATTGTGGGCTAATACATGGTGCCAAGGCCAAAATTTATGTATACCCCTAACGTGAGTTTACACTTAATTGAAAAAAAAAACATATTAAATTCTATAGGACACTCTGATTTTTTTGAATATCTCTGAAGATCGCAAAAGATCGCAGCCAATTTTCATATATATGTTTCTATAGAAAATTTCCTATGCAAGGGTTATAATTAGATAACTACAATTGGCTGCAGTCATTAGATCTATTCCATTAAAAATATAATTTTTAAATATCTTTTTATTATTAATATTATTTTTTCTTAGAGTTAAAAATAAAACCTTTAAAATTGAGCTTTTGTCTAAAAAATCATTGCAGAATAATCTTGAAGTACTAATAATAATAATACACTGAAGAAACTATATAAATATCTGAAATATTTACCAAGATATAAGCATTCAAAATTAATATGCCGCTTCAGAAATATTACAAGAAAATTATTTTATTTTTAAAGTAGCAACTTTGAGCACCTATATTTCGGGTTAAAGGAACTCTGCAATATTTTTAGTTATTTTTCTATAGTATATGAAATGTTTACTGTTAACTATAATAACAAGCAAGACAATTGGAAAGCGTTTAATTTTTTATTTTTGTCGTTCTAAAAGTACCAAATGTCTCACTGTGCAGTGTCCCGTTTTTAAATTTAGCCAGTTACACCTAAACTGTTTTTTTTTTTTTTTTAATTTGACGAATATTTAGATTCATAATAACAAAATTTAGGTCCAGTAAAGAGGACAGTTCTCAGCTAGTTTTAAATAAAAGACAATTAGGTACAAGAGAAAATTATATCTTTATACGTATGTATGTATTTGTTTAATAATAATAATATATATATATATTTTATTATAAATTTATTTTTTTATCAATACAATTTTATAAAAAAGCATTTACAACAATGTTGACATATAATTTGTGTTTGTTTTATTTTTCATCTCAAATTTAACTTTTCTTAAGACTGGTTGATTTTTTATTGTAATTATTAAAATATATTTTTATGTATATTTTATTTTTGTAGCATTAGTTTAAATCATTTGCTTTTAGCTTAATTATTAATAATTATTTGTTTCATTCTTTCTTTAGTTTTTTAAATTATTTATTATATTTTTGTTTGTCCTTTTACAGATACATATACATAAAAATATTTCTTAGTTTTAGTAGATATTGTTTTTTATATATATTTATGTATGTATATTTATGTATATAGTATATAATAAGGTTTCTTCTTTTCATTTATTTCCGTTATTAATCTTTGTGTATTTAGTTGGTATTTTTATTATTTAATTATTTATTTGTTCTATGTATATGTATGTATGTTTGTTTGTTTGTGTGTATGTCTGTATTTATGTATGTATAGTAAATATGGATTACACTCTTTAACAAATAAATAAACTATTTTCATAGCTATAAATCCTTATAATTAAATTAAAATATGTGTGTACTCCTACTATTGTTTCACTGTAAAAGAAGAAAGAAAAAAATAATATATTATTTGATCGATGTTCTAGGATGTACATACATAATTATGAAAATGGTATGTTAATAACATTATCATTTCTTTTTATGTTTAAATATTGCACCACTGCAACGACCACAAACACAAATTGTTTAATTTTAAAAAATTTCCATGAAATTTAGTTCTGTTTAAACTTTAAAGAGAAAAATGTTTCTTTAGATTAACATTTTAAGCTTTTTTCACACTATATGTGTTTCTGTGTAATCAAAATATTTTTTTTTTTATTCGACTATATTATAAACGAATTAAAACAACAAACAAAAAAAAACTGCTTATTATCTTAAAAACAATTATTTTAAGCAGTTAACGTAAATACTTTTTGTGATGGACGTTGAATAGCTGAAATATTTATATACGTTTTCTTTTCAATTAGAACCTTTTTAATTGCGCTGACTGCTCTTGTACAAAACATCAAATATTTGAGGATTTTGGGGGTTTTTGTTTTCATGCAAACAATTTTACAAAAAGAAATATTAAAAATTCATGCCTTAACATTTATTTTAAATATTGATACTGAAATGAAAATAAAATCAACACAAAAAGAGTGTCCTTCTTACAACTTACATAAATAGAGAAATATTTACTAAAATCCCAACGTATTGTGAGAGTTGTATGTCGTTTTTGTAAAATATTTATTTTTAAACGAATACTCATTCATCATTTACTTACAACTCTTAGAATAGGTTGTGAATTGCATAATTGTTTATTTTTTAAAATATTATACCAATTACAAAAATATAAAAGTAGTATAGTTTTTATTTTTAACATGTTTCAGACATGCATATTATGTATTAATATTGTGTAAACAGTACCTCAACAAAGAAAAACAAAAACAAATAGACTTATGTGTAAACAATTTTCCACTAAAATGTTGAACAATTTCAATATTTATGCGAATACTTTAAATTTCACAAACAAAATTTTTAAAATATCGAACAATAGTTAATTATCTTCCATTTTATTCTTAAAAGAATCAAACGTATAAAAATTGGGACCGAATTATCGCCTACGTGATTTAGTAAATTGACACTTAATTTCGATATGGAAATGTGTTTCTGCTACGTAAACCGAATATGGCCCCTGATTTAAATGGACAAACATTTGAAACTATGTTTTTTCTTATGTAATTTCTTTGTTGAGCTACTGTGCAGATTTTTTATTATAAAAAAAGAATTAGTCTTGTTTTAAAAAAGAGAAATAAAGCTTAAATTAAATAATATATACGATATTTTTGCATACAATTTATATAACCAACTGAAATTTAAAATGTGTGACAAAAGAAAAGTTTGCAATTTTGTTAGGGTAGAACAGGGGGCTTTTAGAAAAAGAAAAGAAATTATTCAAAAATTGCTAACTTGCAAATAACAAACTTTGTTTTTCCAAAAATTGTAGTAAATATAAAATGATTACCAATTAGATGTTTAAATAGATGTTCACATACATATAACGATGGTCTTGATTTAAAAAAAAAATATATTTTGTATGCAATTTATTATGTATACATATTTATAGATAAAGTAGATAAGTAGATTTGTGTATAGTTAGAAAAATATTCAAAATTATTAATATTTTGTGTGTGTATGAAAAATAATTTTGTTGTAATTATAATTATTTTCAACAAGTAGCTCTGGCTGCTTGGCTGACCACTAAAATGTAGTATGTAGTACATACTGCTATTTATTTGTGTATATTTTTATGTAAATAGAAAAAAAAAACTACTTGTATATTTTTATAGATTTAACGCCCGCGTTGTGCTGGTCTTAAGTAACATGTTGTTGTTTTGTTTTTGTGTAGTGTGCATGTTTATTCATTTTGTTTGTATTATGCAGCCCTCTTAATATTTTATTTAATTGTTTTATTTTTATTTAATACATGTTTGCATCTGGTGGTGTTTTTAAATATTCATCGGGTCTTTTGTGCTCAATTAGGGCACGAACTGTGCCGCTGTCAGCTGGCAAATCAGATTTTCGTCTAAGCAACGGTTTATCCTTGTTACGTGGCGATTTCTGAGAATTGAGAATTTACACACCAAATAGCAAATATATTTTATTAGTAAATTAATACAAAATACTAATATTTACATACATATATATAAATATACACATACATAATCGTTTTTTTTTTTTTTTTTTTTGTTAATGTTAACTTAAATAAAAGTAGTTACACAGATACGTTTTTCTTTGGTTGTGTTTAATAATGATGTTTGTTAAAATTTATTTATAATCCCGTAGGTTAATATTTTCACAATTTTAAAGGTGACATGGTGACACCAAAACTTTAATTAAATATCCAAATTAAAATTGTCACAATCATCGTATCTGTGTTATAATATTTCATAAGTTTTTCAATGTATGAGTATATATTTTTAAGCCTGTTTGAGTTAGTAATGTTATAAATATATGTAGGTATTTCTAAATTACATACGTTTGATTTTGAAAAGACACCAGCTAATAATAAGCTAATCTACAGACACAACACACTACAAATGACAAAAGAATTTTCAAAAGATCGAAATAAAAGTATGTTTGTAGAAAGTAGTATTTATGAATAAAGTATGTTGTCAGCTGTTACAGAATAAATTGAATACAAAATTTGTTAAAGAAAATTTATAGTTTATTTGGAATGCATAAGAAAATTTTGTGTTTTAATTCAAAATCGTTTTAAAAGTGTTAAAGCAACAACAATATATTACATATATGTTGAGTAAAATATTTACTAAAAGAGTATTACATGAACATGAATGACGCCATTTATATTACATGCTTAAGGTATTTGTATATTCTTTTTGGAAAAACATACCTCGCGATTTTCTTGGACAGAACTATGTAGTTGTGATGATTGATGTTGCTGCTGCTGTTGTTGTTGTCTGTCATCATAATCCAACTTGTCATAAGTTAAATCGCAATTGTCATTGTCCTGATCAAATTCATTTTGACTACTAGAAATACTCAAACTATCCATTTGGCCAACAATTTTTGTCCAATCTGGATTTGTTTTGGCCATATTCTCAACCTGTTGCCAAAGACCTTCACGCTGGGCAAATTTTTCACGCTCTCTTTGATAAAAACGAAAAAAAAAAAAAAAACAATATTAAAACTTTTGTAATGAGTTAGTAAAAGAAATTGCAACTTACAACTGCTTCTCCTGCCGGTAATTTTTGCTACATTCATCAAATAAACGTTGATTCATCTCCATAAATAATTTTAATGCATTATATATGAGACCATGTATAGTTTTATTCCAGTGAGTTTTCGAGTTACGATTTAAGGCAGGAAACATTATTGGTAAAATGACTTGGGAGTTGTCTGATATCAATGACATTATATACTCGTTATTCCAATAGTACAGCGCACGTTCGGCCACTTGAAAATGTGGTGATGAAACGCATTTAGCGATTTGCCGGAACAATGGTACCATTACTTTTTGAAACTCGGCTGGTTCTATGACATCTAACAGTTCTTCAAGTTCATTAAGAAACATAACCTCCTTCGGACTATGGGTTTTTGGCCAGAATTTCAAAAGACTCCTTTGAAAGTATAAATATAAAAAGAATATTGTTTAAAAAACGCCACTAAATTCTATGAAATTCACCTACTTTATAACCGGTTCAGCTAGACTGGGATCCTTTTCTAAGAATTGCACCACACAATAGGTCAATTGTGGATGATAAACAGAAAGACTTTTCGCTTTATGCAAAGGCAATAAAACTTTAAGCAAAAACTGTTTATGCTCCTCCTTAAGAGGTAGAGCAAACCCATTTATTATACTACCCAAAATTTCCAACAATTCAGCAATGCCATTGTGGTGCTCAGTTTCATAGATAAACCTAAGAGTTAAATCAAATTAAAATTTTAAAATATACATTAATTTTGCACTTCTTACCTGTAAAAGACATTATTGATTTGTTTGCGTATAAATGCTCTCAAGCCCAAAAACTTTCCATATATACGATGTAAAACAGTCTTTAAGAAATCACGTTCACGTGGATCCTCTGAGTCAAATAAATCCAACAATTGCAAAACAAACTGATGATCTATGTAGCGTTTGGCAATGTTTGGTTGAAAATCGGGCGATTCTAAAAAACGCAAAAACAATTCGTAAACAAACTGCAAGTGGGGCCAAGAGGACTCCAATGTCGGTTCATCTTCTTCCGGATCAAATTCAGCACCATTAGGATTTGAAGAAGGAGGCAAAGTACGAAATAAATTTACAGCAAACTATTTATAAGCAGACGAAAATTATAACATAATCAATACATTTGCATGAGAGTTAAAACGAGTTTTCATACCATATTTATTGCTTCTGGATAAATGGCTTCTGTAATAACATTATTTTGATTAGACAAATATTCAACCATTTCGTGTAAAGCCGCCCTTTTCACCTCCTTCCATTTTAGGTCGCTTAATGGCTCGGAAAAATCGAACAGTGTACAGCATTGCCTTATTTTCTGAACAAACAGTTCTTCTCGTTCATTGGCTGGTGTTTCTGTGCGAAATGTGAAACAATTTGCAAATGAATTATAAAAACTTATAGGTTTTTGTTGTTGGAAATATTTAGAAAAATAAAATAACAACATAAATAGCACGTTTTTCTATTACAACAATGACAAAATACTTATTATTTGACTGATTTGATGATTTATTAACACCAAATTATTTTTACTTTTATTTTAATATATTTTTATTTACTATTTACGACAAAATATGTGTAAATTTTTTCTTAAGAAGTAGAAAAAATTGTGATATTTAAGTTGTCAGCATATTAGTTATTCTTTAAAATTACAGAAATGAAAAAAATATTAATTAAACAAAATTAAAAAAAAAAATAGAATATCTCTTAAATTATAAATCTTTAATAAAATTGTAACTATAGTTAAGTACCAGTCATATTTGTCGCAATTTATTTTTCCCCATCATTTAATGCAGAATTAAATTTGGTCAATATATTTAGTTTTATAGAAATTTATTCACGTTTTTTCATTTTGTTTAAACTTATTCAAATAAGGCGTAAATAAAGGGATAATAATATGAGAAGTCTATTAGAGGTAGCATATTTTTCGTTTATTTCAAATAATATCTAAAAGATTTTTATTCGAATAAAGGAAGGACTTGTATACTTACTAAGAAAAAATAATATATCTTTGTAGATAATTGGATACTCTTAATTGCCAAATCGTTAAACCACATTTTGATAAAGCAAAAGTGCTCAATTCGGCAATGTCAAATCTTTTATAACCTTCACCATAGTATATTTTCATATTTCTTCTTAAAGTAAAAAAAAAATATATTTTTTTAATTTTTAATTTCTTTTCAAATATTTTTTTTTTTTTTTTTTGAAAAATTTAAATTTTTTTTCCAAAAAAAAAATGTTAAGATAAGAGAAGAATCCTAAATCTGATATATTTTGAACATATAATTCTTTTCTAGACCTATTGAACATCAATTAAAGGTCTTTCGAATATTTTTATTTTAATATATGTAGGTATATTTTAAACATATATTTTAAACCTATACATAATGAACATGAATATCCAAAATATAGTAAAAATTCTGGAAAAATATGGATTTGATCATAAATCCGTTGTTTATGGACTGTTTTCGCTGATTTCAATTATCAATATTTTTGAAAACATGTTGAATAGAATCTTTGAATTGTATGATAAAAACAATTCAAAAACAACAATACGTCCATACAACTAAGTTATGTATATCAATTCGGTATATGTATATACTTTAATATTTATCGGTATATCGTACTAATCATTAGCTAAATTTAATGATAATACCACTGTCTGGTATTTCTAACTCTAAAGGTATTTGTATTAATAATGGAATATATTGCCAATCTCGATCTATTGAACAAAATTTTAAAATAAGTTAATCATTTCAGCCAGTGAATTATACAAATAATACACAGTAGATTAAACTTTTAGTGCATACGTATTAATCTATAATAATACAGAAAAATAGGAAATCAATAATTATAAAATCAATAATAATTTTCACCACTCCTTTGCTAGGCAAGTATATATGTATAATACTTATATGTACATATATGTATGTATGTAAGCATGTAATGTATCTAATCATAACATGGTCTTGTGAATCACTGCACGAAGAACGTTAGTATAATAGTATGTACATTGTACAATACAAAGTTTATGTATGTGGTTTTTCTATTCGTTCTTTCGTCAAAGTCAGAAATAACATTTTTAGCTGTTGTTGTTGTATTTTTATATCTTGTTTGTTTTGATTTTGTTTGCAAATTATTTGCACCTACTTGGGACTCTTGGCAGATTATCAATTTCCCAAATAAATAAAAACATAGATTATTTTGTAAACAAATAACATCATAATTTGCTCACAATTCTAAAAAAGTGAGAAATTGAGAGCAAACAAGAAAAGAGTTGATAATAATGTTTACACTAGAATATTTTTCTTTGTATATAAGATGCATATTATTTTGAATAATTTCGATATTTAGCCATTAAATGCAATGCGCTATGTTATTCTAAAATGTGCCCAAACATATTGGTCAAGTGTCTCATTATAAATTTAACGTATTTTTTAATCGAATATGTAAAATGCAAATGAATTTAAGCTTGATGTATAAATTTCAGTTTGATCTTTTTTCTAACATCTGAAATGGAAAATATATATTTTATACATGCATCAAAAAGTTTGAAATGTTTTATATTGCAATGAATTTAGAGAATCTTAAAAAATGTCGTTAATTTATGGTTAAATTTTTCTCTCTAACAACCTTAACCGTGTAAACAAAACCATAAATGTATAACAATTAACAAAAAACAAAAAAGAAAAGTATAAAAAATCGACTACAAATTAAAAAAATATATATAATGAAAACACATAATTAATTATATAACGAGAAATTATGAAAAATGAATTGATTTTGAAAAACCTCGTAGTAGCGGTAACTGTACTGCTGTTGCTGATGATGTAGGTGTATGAAAAACATTTCTGTCCCTTGCTCGTCCAGGACTGCCAGAAATTTGCTGCAAAGTTGTTTGAGTTACAAAGGGTCCCCCCGAACCATTTGAACCACTTCCATCCGGATTATTTATATTCTGGCAATCTGAATTGTCTGGATTATCATCGTTACTTTCATTTCCATTTTGATACTGTACGTTAGTAGCTGGTCCGCCTACAAGACTGGCATTATTTTGCAATTTTATTTGTGCAGTGCTGGAACCATTGTTTCGTGTTATTTTATTAGTATTGTTTGCAGCATTTCCTATACCCAAGGAAATGCTAATGCCACTGACAATGGATTGGGTAACGGAACTTGAATTAGTTGATGCAGTTGCTGCTGCCGACTGTGACGCCAATGGGGCAGAAGTTGATGCTTGTGTCGTCGTTGTTGTAGACAACACTGCATTATACTGTCCTTGTCCAGTACCACTGACATTATTTGTGTTATAGCTGCTATTTGAGGCCGTATTATTAGAAGCAGCACCACCACTGCCCACATTTTTTGTAGCATTAAGTATATTTTTAATTGCTGTAGCTGCGCTCACTGGAGACTGCATTATTAACGTTAAGCCATTCGTATTTGAGTATGGTCAAAATTGTTATATATAATTTGTAAAATTAAAAAAATGGAATAAAAGAAATTGGACACAATAATGAAGAATACGTTTAAATGAATTTTCTAAGTTTTGCTTATAATACAACTAATAAAAAGCTAATATGTTGCATAAATTAAAATCGATAAAATAAATATAATTTTTGTTTAATCGAAATTTTGTGGGATAAAATTCAGCTCGGCCGAATTAATAGGGCCAATTTTATAGCTCAGTATAATCTCTTCCCTTAGGAAGAAGTATAAAACTCCATCATAGTATGTACCAAAGTATACTTTGGTATGTACTTTACATAAAATTATATTTTTTTCTCGATTTAAATTATACAAATTTACATTCTATGATTTTCTAATTTATAATTGATGAGTGGATTAGAAGATTAAATCAAACCTTGTTATTTGAACCAAGCGTTGATGAGGCAGTTGTTAAAAGTTGTGTAGCTGATGTAGCTGCATTAAAATGTTGAGCCAGTGTTGAGACAATGGATGATGTGGTTGCTGAAATGGGATTTGTTGTTGCCGAGGAAGAAGATCCCACTCCTCCGGTATTCGAAGAAGAGGCCGCCATTGACATGGATGCTGTTGTCGCATTTAATGATATACTATTGTTGCTAGTATTAACTACAGATAAAGATGTCACTTGCTGCTGCTGTGATAAGGATGAAGAAGATGATGTTACTGATATTGCTGATGAATTTGATGATAGTGATTGATGATTGCTTGAGATATTATTAACTTCTTTAGGTTGAGGTTGTGGTTGTAATGCTGGCATTTTATTGTTATAGACTTTTTTAACTGCACTTATTGTTGAAAAGGAACTATTGGATAATTTTGCTTTAATTTCTTCAATATTTGTAAATTTAAATTTACAGCCAATACTGCCAATGCCACTACCACTGCCACCTCCACCACAACTAATATTCTCAGATTGAGTCGCTTCAGTCGTCGCTGTCGTTTGTATTAGAATTTTATCATTATCAACATCGTGACCATGATCATCATAGTCATCCGCCAAAAGATCAAGACCGCTATGAAATGATGGGGATTTTGGTATACCTAAACCAAAGTAACCACTCCCCACGGATGGTTGATGGCTAGGTAAAATTTTTATTGGTTCGTTATTGAGGAGATTAGCTTTAGTACTGGCGGCACTTATTACTTTTTTATTATAACTATTGTTTGAATCTCTATTAATGGAATAAGTTGACGAATAACTAATGGATGAAGAAGTTAGTTTACTATGTTCACTTTTATTTTCTTGCGTTTTTGTATTTGTATTTTTATTAATTTGTTCAGGATTATTGTTAACATTGGTACTCTTTTCAAATAACATATCATTAAATACCATTTCATTACATGTCACATTTATTCAATCAAACCGATTTCAAATTCACTAAAACATTTTTTAAATAACCTTTTTTATCTGCTCTTGTATTTCATTTTTTTATTATCTACTGTCTCTAAAACGTGCTTGTTTTTTGTTTTGTTTTTATTTTTGTAATTATACCTTAACTATTATAAGTAAATTAAATTTAAGCAAGCAAAAATCTGTAAAACAAAGCAATATTTATAAAATATTTAATTTTGTGTAATAATTAGTTATAATTGGAGAAAGAATTACGTAGACAAAAAACAACAACCAAATTATTACTTAACAATGAATACACATAATTAACTAAACGTTTAAATCAAAAATAATTATAAAAATTATTTAATCTATATTTTTCTTATTTTCAATTTCAAATTTAATATTAAAGATATTGAAGTGCAAAATATGAACTTTTCCAAAATCGAATTGCATAAATAAGTTAAAGCGATAAGTTAAAAGTAACCTTTCCAGGCACGAAACTTAACCGCAGAAATTTCTCAAGATCTTAGTGAACTACACGCGAAATTTTAAAATAATTTAAATATTTTTAAAATATTATTATTATTATACAATTCTATCAAATTCGAGTTAATTTTGCGTTGAACTTAAAATACAATTCCACATAGTAAAAGGGCAGATATAATTCCCTTTTGTTTACAATGTGGTATATTTAATTTTTTTAATTTGATAAAAAATACAAGTGAATTTTTCATAATTTTGAAATAAAAAATGTATAGATTATTTTAAACAATATTTTCCGGTATTTTGCCAAATGTTGTACTACTTTTATAAAGTAAACTAAGTTTAAATAACAAAAGTCATTAACGATGTATTGTTATATTACTGTACATGAAAAAAATAAGAAAAATATTTTTTATAAAATAAATTTAAAAACATTGTTGTAATAATTCATCCCAGATCTAAACTAAATTCGATACATAACTATATACGTATATTTCTCATTTTTAAAGAACATTTTCTATAAATTTATAAAAAAATCAACTATATTACAAGGATAAAGGAAAAAAATTATGAAAAAAAACAACTATTGCAATAAATAACAAATTTAAATTAAATTTCAAGATGTTTACATGTACATAAGTCTGTATATATGTATGTAAGTACATGCATTAATACATATATGTATGTATATACATACATATATGTATCTAAAATTAGTTCGCAATAGCAGACAGACCAAAAAAAATTTTCACCTAAAATATTTTTCATGCATTATTGTATACAAATATAATTTTAACTATAAGAAAAATATTTTACACTAAAATTGCCTCAAAAAAAAACAAAACGATAATAATGAATATAAATAAATAAAAACAAAATAATTCTATTTATATTAGTTTAACTAATAAAAAATATATTGATTTTTATCTCAGCCGGTGTTTTATTGTGGGTTTGTCCTTTTATTTCTTACCTTAAGGATGAAAATACTTATAAACATCTACATATTTATAGTATTTCTTTACTCTTTTTAACATTTTATTTACATTTTACAGGTTTTTATTGTTATATTTATTTATACACAAAAAGTATCTATTTTACTAATAGAAAACTATTATTTATGAATCTTAAAGTTAATACTACTTTTTTCTTTGCTATATACTAAAATATTACTTGAAATGAATACAACCGTAGGTATAGATATGTCATTATAGAAAAATCAATATCTGTTTGACAATTTAACCGAGTTTCTTTTTGAAGAGATTAAGTTTTCATATACAGAGAAGTGCTTGGTTGTTTAGGAAAAGAGATGATAATTTTTTGGTAAGTGCGCAGTTGCATTTTTTAATAATTGTAAATAAATAATGGCAGACAGATGATTTTAACAACAAACAATTATAGTTAAACAAATTTAATAATATACATATGTATGTATATTTTAATAATAAAATTTTTAAATAATAAATGGTTTTCATGAAATAAGAATATATTTTGACATTTGTTGGTTGACATTACAAGTTTTTCTTGTTAATATTTTAAAACACTCTTTCAGTCTTCCTTAAGAAAGAAACCATCTAATGTCAAGTATAATTAACGAATCAGCTGATAGGATTTATTAGGCAAAGGTATTTGTAAATACAATATTTAGATTAAGATTATTTACAAATTTCTATAATAATCAGTTTTAGCGAATAAACTCGATTTAAAATGTGTTATATTGAAAGGGTAAAAAAATCCAGATTTGCAAACAAAATTAATGTTGTCTGGTACTTTATGAACTAGTAAATCCCGGAAATATATGTATTTCAAATTTATACAAAATTAATAACTTTGCAGGTTCGGCACCTTACAATAATACATTACTAAAACATTATTTACAATCTCTCATGAACCAATCTAGTTTGACTGCTGTTCGACGTATAATTCAAATATACGACTATCACATGAAGGCAACATTTTCAACATCGAAAGACGAAATCTTATAACATCAAATTTAGTTTTAATCAGTCTGAAAGTTTTTTGTTCTGTTTTGGACCAACAAATCTAATGTAATTACTAATATTTGTAAAATATTTGGTTATTAGAATAAATTATAAGCCAGTCAAATAATTTCATATTTATTCATTGCGTTGTTACATATCTTAGAAAATAAAATGTATTTGTTTATAATTTACTTACTCTCATTTAATGGAGGCAATGGTGTAAGTTCACAATTTTTTGAGACATTGTAACGTGAGCTGCTTTGACGTTTTTCTTTTTTCACAAGAGGTGTTGTAGTTATGTCTAAGCCTTTGGTTATTGGAGACACAGGAGGGGGAGTTCTTTTGTTTTCCTTGTTGGCCTGTGAATATATGAAAAAAAAAAAAAAAAAAAATCAATTAGTACTTTGTAGTATGTATTTATTTTGACTACCTAACAAAGTCTATATAAATTGTTTTTGACCGTCAATTTAACCCCTAAATTATCCGCATGAAAAGGATTAAATTAAGGTTGCAAAGTGTTTAAACTTAAATCTAAGATTTAACATCAGTACTTTGTTACTTAGTCATATCAAAGTTATGACTATGTAAGCATACATGAATGCTAAAGTATTATAGCAATTGGTTCTAAGAAGAGAATTATAACTCTATAACAAGCTACTTATCAATGACCATAGTAAAATAGTAAATACTTAAAATATCGCGTTTAGTTTATTTAAGATTAGATTGCATAGATAGTATTTGTCGGTCTTGTTGTTATTTTCTAGAACTTATTACTTGGCTGCTGATCGTAGCAGTATTAATTTTATTCTATTTGTCTTTTCTGCAAATGTTGGACATTTTGTTCTAAGTTAAGAGTGTGTGTTTTGTGTTGATTTAGAGTTGGCATTAAATTAGTGTAAGAAGTACATTGATTGTAGTAAACATTAACATTGAAAAAAATATTATATGAAATGAAACAATAAACGATAACTTCAACTTACCTCCGAATTTTTATTTGCACCTAATAATGGTGTAGATGATGGTATACCACTGCTATCGAAGCCGGTTGATGTATTCGTAACCACAATTGATGTTGATGTTGTTTGAGCCGTTGTTATATTGTTACTATTATTCTCCTTTATGCCGTTAGTTGTTGCTATTTTCGTGTTGATGTTATTGTTGTTATTATTGTTGACAATGGACACTGCTTCTGCTGTTTTAGAAGCTGGTGCTGTTTGTAACGTTGATGCTGCCTTATTATCCATAACGGGTTAAGGAGCCTCTACTGCTGTCTATGCTGATGCTTACTGCTCGTTTTTCTTAATTTCTGCTTTTCTTTTTCTTTTAGTTTATTTCTACGCGTATATTCTTTGCGTACAATATATTAAAACTTACAGTACATATGTATGTTGTTCTTGATTTTATCGTTATCGATTGAAAACATAGAACGAACGAATGTCAGTCAACACACAGTTTTCGATGACTTTAACAATAAAGCAAACAAATCAACCAACTAGAAAATCAATGAGAAATGAAAATGTAGGATTTACTTTTAGTCTTAGTGTATCGAAAATGTTTTGTAATTTTGTTTACATGTCAAATGTATGTATTAACATATACATATTAACAAAAATAATAAAAAACGGAAAAACATTTGTCAAAAAGTATCAACATGTCACATATTACTAAAAATTGCACGAGTTAAAAATTTACATAATACTCTTTTGATCGGTGGTAGCAATGTACAGTTGTAATAGTGTCACTTAGCCTAGAGTTATTTAGACAATACTAAGGGATTCTAATTTAAATTATTATATTTTTATTAAAAGCTTTATTTTCAGTCACAATTCAAGTCTGAGTTGGGGAACAACTCTCGCGTCATCGCCATTATTTCTTAAGGACGATCAGGCTTGTGTTTGTTGCCAAGCTTTTGACAGAGTTACGTCTCACTCGCACCAATTGAGTGTATTACTCGTTTTGAGGTTTGTTTGATTTAATTGGTGGAGACCAAATAATACTTTTGATTAATTAATTGTTCGGGGCTCCAACTTCCTATATAAAGGTATAGGTCGATTGCAGGGCTCTCTCCGAACCAACGTGGGATAACCTGGCATTTTGAGTGTTTTAAACACACCGCCAACAAAAAAAGCTTTAATTTAACTTGCTTGGTTAGTTTGTTGGTTTGTAATTGTACAAATTTTGTAACTGAATTTCCGAGGTCCCCTAGCACGATTTGGTTGAAACTTGGTACACGTAAAGACATCTAATGACTATGCAATGTTATGTTCGAAAATTCGGAGCTATTTTGGTATGTTGTCGAAAATTTTTACTGAATTTTAAACCACTTCCTGTAGCTCAAATATGCTGAAACTTGGAATATACATACGTATAATGTTTAAATTTTCAAAATTTCTTTCGAATTTTTAAAATTATATTAACAAAAATAATTTTTAAATATAAACACCCTGTTTTTGAATTGAAAAGTGGTTTGTGAATTTGAGAAAATAGAATTGTCGGATATTAAAATTTCAAAGCAAATTGAAAAATCAAATTTATTTGAATTTTTAAACTAAGAAAAAACTGAAAAAGTTAAAAAATTATATAATACTTAAAAGCTTTTCATAAAAGACTATTTTTTAAATAATCTTGTTTGTATTGTCTTATTGATAACTACTTAAATATTTTTCCGATGATCGTCGAACTATCACAATATTCTATACATAAGAAAGTCACTTTTGTAAAATGTATCTGGATATCAACATTTTAAGTGATAACATACTTGTAGATGGGAAATATTTGAAAATAGGTATTGACCGATTTAAAAAGAATTTAAAGTATTGTTTCGGGATAAAATTTATTTACCCAACATTTATAAGCTAAAATGACTAGTTTCCGCCGAGCTATGAAAATAAAACACCGATTTCAAAATATTATATTTTTAAATAATGGGACCAGAAGTTTGATTACAAGGTGAATTGTACCGTGCCTTCCGATATACTACATATTTAAGCAACTTATTGGTGAAAAACTAATTTTCTGAAAATGGTATTATATGAGGCTGGCGGAAATGTGGACCGATTTACGTTTACATAAAACGTATTTATGATAAATTTTATTATGACATTTTCTTTTTAAGCGAATTTGGACATTTAAGTAATTGTCTACAGATTACATTTATAAAGTTCAAATGATGCCCGATCATTACAAGTATAAAATAATGTTGTTTTTTTCTTAAAGTTTCAAAACAAGAACCTTTACTAAAATACAATTCTGGTTTTGATAAGCTAAACAGAATCAATTTTAAATAAAATGAATATAATTTTAATGTTTTTGTGAACTAACTACATACATAGTTCGGAATTTGAAAGAGCTAAAACAAAATCCATCGGTATAATAATGCGGAGTTGAAACCATTCCGATCGAAATGTGTGACAGGCCTGCTAATTATAAGCTCAAAAAGCCCTATTCGGTGGGTTCAGCTGTATGAGAGATAGGTGTAACAATGGACCAATTTTAATCATTTTCAATAGGTTTCTTCTCTGGTACAGTAGAAAGATCATTAAAAAAAATTCATTGAATTATTTTAAAAATTGCGACCGGTAGTTTGATTACAAGGTTTACATGGACAGAAAGTAATCTAATCCGATTGATATAGAATGGGTACAGAACCAATATTATTGTATGTTACAAACATCATCACAAACGCAATATATACATATGTATGTATATACCCCACACTGTAGTATAGGCAATAATACATGGTAACCCTTCACACTTGAAATTTATAGAGAGAAGAAATTCACTTGATAATTAAATGCTCTTTCACCAAAAAAATAGAAAAAAAGAAAATTGCCTAACACAAATAAAAACAAATAATCGCCATTAAAATATGTAACGTTACGTTGTCACAATGGATATACTACTGATATGTATCTATTTTGAGCTATTAATGTAAAAAAATAAATGTTTATTATTCTTCCTTTAGTTATATACATCATATAGGTATTTATTTTACATATAATTTCTAGGATCTAGATACTTTGTATTTCTTTGCTTTTTAATATCTTCAAAACACTGTAAAAATATTAGGAGAGAGTAGAGTTATTTTCATCAAAACAAATGGCGGACGTAAAGTAGGCAACAAGTATAAATATGAATGTATTGGTATGTTTGTTTGTATATATACAATGTATGTGAAGAAATCATCACAATTGTGATGATGTTTTTATAAAAAAAATTATATGTGTGGATACATGTTTGTAGGTATATGTATATTCATTTGTATAATTAAGAGGCTTACAAACACTGCGTTTCTAAAAACAATTATCCAAATAAAATAGTACATATATAAATAATTACTAATACTAAAAGAACATTAAATTTTTATACGCACCCCTAAACGATGAAATATTTTACTAAATTTTTCTTTGCCCCGATTTAAATTTGAAAACATTAAAATATAGTTTTTTTGTTCGTAATTATGTAGCTCAAATAGCTGCAGTTAATGTACCAGCACCAGAAAATTATTCTAGTTGTAAGACTAGGTGTAGTAGAACAAAAATTGTAATTGCAAGGGTGGGGGATCGCGCAGCGTTTCAAAAACACACACGCACTTATAAACGCGTTTGTCAACCTTTTAAGTTTTCTCTTATTTCTTTCTTTTTTAACACTTATGTATTTTAGTTTGCTTTTAAAGATTCTCTTTTTACTTTTTTATTTTTTTATAATATAATTAGTAAAAAATGACGGGTTGTTGCGAATATTTTTATTTTCTTTTACACTTTTCGATCACCCTAGAAAGTGTAATGAAAGACAAAGCAAAACTAATAAAAATCTTTCAACTTTATTATTTTTACTATAATGTATTGTAAAATTGTGTCACCTTTTAAATATACATATTAAATACACTTTTTGATAAAAGTTAAAGCAATTAGGTAATTTTATAGAAAATAATTTGCGAAAATTTCCTTTTTTCGTTTTTCTTTTGCACAACTACCGCAACGTTGCAACGAGCCAAATAGAGACCTTCGCCGACAAATATTCTCGATACCGCCGGTTGAGTCTTCTGAATATTAACGCCGGTTCTATATCATTTGTTTCTCAACAAAAGAAAAGTTGCACAATTCCAAAAAATATAACTTAATATTGTATAAATTTAATATTTTAAAAAAATTACTAAGATAATTGTACAAAAACTTGCATAAAATTTCAAACCAACTTAATCTAAATTTTTTCGTCGGCGATTAGATTTAAAATTTATTAGCGGCTAGGTTTATTTACAAAATATTACTTAGTGGTTATCGAGTATCGAATATAAAGTAACTAATCCATCATTTAGGGTTGCATTTTTAATGAAATGGTCGGTCAATGTAACATTTTCAGAGGGTGTTCACAATGCTAGCAACCAATTATTTTCAAAACTCGAGATTATCTTGCGGCCACGATAACACTATTTGATTTGATCTTGTATACATTTTTATTAATTTTCCAATAGTCTTTTAAATAATTTGTACAAATTTCCATTGAAAATTTTTGATTTTAAAATTAATATAAAATAAACGTCAACAAATTTTTCATACAAAGTTAAACTGAAGTTCAAGTATGTTCAACTTTTTCACAGAACTTTAGTTACATTTTTGTACTAAAAATGAAAGAAAAATATCTGTGGAACTATAAACGAGAAAGGGATGGATAAAAAACAAAATTGTTGCTAGCATTGTGAATTTTGTCGAAAATTGAAATTTTCAACAAAATTTAGAATCTTAACTAAAAACTAATATTTTTTTAATTATTACTAAAATTAATATTTTTACTATAATAGTAAATTTTTAAATTATAATTTTTAATAAAAATTCAAATTTTTATTAAAAACACAAAATTTTACAAAAAATTCAAATTTTTACTCAACAATTTTTATTTTTTATACTGTAATGCGTTGCCATCAACTAATAGGACTTGCCACTAAAATTTAACTTGGCAATCTGTAATCATATGTTCTTTTCTGTTTTCTTCTTTTTTATTCTTTTTCTATTTCTTTTTGCCAAGAAAGTGATTTATTTATTCAGTTAAGAAATTTTGAGAAATAAACAATATAAAATGCAAATAATTATCAAAGTTTTAAAAGGACAGGATTGTACTTTAGATGCAAGTATATGAATAATCCACGTATATCCAAGAAGTAATATGGTTTATTGTTTAATCCAACACAGGTTACACCTACAACGACAATTTCCCAAATTAAACAAGAAATTGAGCAAATTCTAAATATACCACAGGCGTCGCAAAAACTTTTACTTTTTGGGCGCACTTTAAACGATGAACAAATGTTGTCGGCCTATTCCAACATTAAAGATGGCACAAAACTAAATCTAATTGTAATGAAACAGGAAGGACTAAGGGACGTAATTTATCGTTCTTTTCGCAAATACTACAGTGAAAATCAAGCGGAAGTTTTCACCAGAAGATTTATGGTTGATTTTGAGGAGAAACTAAAAAATCTTAGTCTGGACGACATCGAGCGCTTAGCAGAAAATGTACTTTGAATTTTTCACAATATACTATAGCATTTAAAAGTTTAATGTGTAGATTATGTTTCCAATTCGTTCCTTTTTTAATAAAAACAATATATAAAAGCATTTAGTAAAGATGATGCATTAATGTGTTTGGCAACACTTAAACGACGTTGTCGAGGTGTTTCCTTTGATTTTTCATTCGCGTATTTTTTGATGTTTACTTTTTACGTTTTTTTTTGCGAACAACGATAATTGAAAGTGTGAGCAGAAGAAGTGTAAAAATGCAAAAAATAACCCGCAGCATTTTCGGAAATTCCTTATTGAAGAACTATTCGATTCGTCAATTATCCTCGTCTATAAGTGCCATGGCTCCTGTAAAGGTATGTTTAAGAATTTAATGTTTCTGCCATTATAGTCAATCATTTAATTTATAGAAATTTTATGAAATTATGTAATTTTACTTCCTATTATCTTGATTATTAACATATTCATAGAAAAGGTCAGGGATACTACGTAGTATTAAAAAGATTCAAAAACTATAAATAACCTGAACAAGTTCTTTGCCACTTATTTTAACCATATTATAATACAGTATCTGATTACAAACTAAAAAATACGATTTAGAAAATAATGCCACAATGCACGTTGTCCATGACGATGTAATGGCCAATAAATTTGTAAAAGATATAACCGTTAAAGTTATGCAAAAAACTCAACTATAACGTGTAATTATAGAATATGCGAATATAGTATTTTGTTGCAAAGTCAATATTGTATCTAAAATTAACTTACATTACACTTTGTTAGTTCCCATATTAATTATGCAAACTTGCCGTCAAATGTATTAGCAATAAATTGCTTAATCAATACAACTTAACAATATTGTTTTGCAATTGCAAGCAGTTATTTGACCGAATAAGTAAAATATTTTATTGCAGTAACAAGTTGAAGAAAATGATTTTTGTAAATTACATATTAATTGCTGGCAAAAAGTATTTAGCTTTTTTATAAATTTATATGTTTCTTATTTAAGGTCGGTGATAAAATTCCCTCTGTAGATTTGTTTGAAGATTCTCCAGCTAACAAAATCAATACTGGGGATTTGACATCTAATAAAAAAGTCATAATTTTCGGTGTTCCTGGTGCTTTTACTCCAGGTTGTTCAAAGGCAAGTACAATTATACACGCATTTATGTAAATTATTTGTTTTATAAGAAATTAATAAAAAAAATTACTTCTAGACTCATTTGCCTGGTTATGTTTCATCAGCTGACAGCTTGAAATCCGAACAAAAAGTGGATGACATTGTATGCGTCTCAGTTAATGATCCATTTGTAATGTCTGCCTGGGGAAAGGAACATAATGCTGGTGGCAAAGTTCGTATGTTGGCAGATCCAGCAGCAGCTTTTGCTAAAGCTTTAGATTTGACCATTGACTTGCCACCCTTGGGTGGAGTACGTGCTAAGCGTTTCTCTATGGTAGTAGAAAATGGTGAAGTTAAAGAATTGAATGTTGAACCAGATGGCACTGGCCTAAGCTGCTCCTTGGCTAATAATATTGGCAAGAAGTAATTTGGGTATATAACAGCAAATAAATGTATTTAATTGTCACATATGTATAAGACAAGAACAAAATAAAAACGTAGTAAATAACTGTTAATATACATATGTATGTCTTATTTAGTGTTTTAATTGGAAGTATTCGAAAATAATAAAAACAATATTCAAATCTCGGAATAATATTAACGCATGTATTATGTAGAAAAATAAATTTATTTACAACTAAGTCATCGATTATCGGTATTTGGAGCTAATTTTTGAGATAATAATTTGCCATATCCACCTCGGCCGGCATCATAATCTGTACGATATTCATCACGTACTTGTCCTCCTGTTTTGCCACGTCCATATTGCCGTCCCTCAATAAAGCCAGCATCCCAATCTACACGAATAAGACGGTCGTCTAAACGTGTTCCATTAACGTACCTGGCATAAACAATACAAATATTATTAATATCATATTCAGATATAAGCATGTTGTCTTAACATGAAACCAAACCTCATTGCTATTTCAGCCTCATTTCTCTGGTAATACTCTACAAAACAGAAACCACAGGGAGTTTTCTTATATTTATCCAATCCCATGATTATTCTTCTAACCTCACCACATCTTGAAAATAATTCATGAATCTGTTCTTCGGTTGTATAAAAAGATAAGTTTCCCACATACAATGTGCTGGAGTCTCGCAGTGAGCGCTCTTGTTCAGACCGGGACCCCTAAAAGAAAACATGAATGAGTTTTCTTCTATTTCGTGTAAAACAATTGGAAAATACCTTAAAATGCTGGTCGCGGTATGAACTTAAATCTACTGAACTACTTGACATTATTTAATTATGATTTCGTTTAATAAATAAAATTTTTATAAAATTTTTGTTTACTACTAGAAAAATCACAAAACGCCGCTTTTTCTCCAACAGTTGTCAAAAAATAATTTGTTGTTGTCACTTTTCAATGACACTTCGATTTTTCTTTATGGGTTGGCAATGCGGCCCAACTGTCAAAACTCAAAGAAAATCAAAAGGAAGAAGAGAAGAAAATTTTGTTGTATTTCCCTACAAGAACAGTGACAGTCATTTGACCGGTCATTTGACTGACACTAGTGAAGGAAATATCGATCACTGCGTAGAACAAAGTTTCTATCAAGTTCTTAAGGGCAATATGAAAAATTTGATGGAAACTTTTGTGTACATGTGATCTTGCATCTCCCTTTCACTTATGAATTCTACCGATTTTAAAACATATATTTGAGCTGGTCACTCCTTTGCTTTTTACCAATCAAGGATGATGGAAATGTTAGTCACGATTGACTAATCATTCTTTATGGATATATCCATCACAGTTGACCAATCACACTTGATGAATTTATCCGTCAAATCTGACGGCTATGCCAATTTATAATAAAACACAATTTATTAACATTTTAAGATATATATTTTTAATTTTATTAATATACATAGTAAGCATATATATAAATTAACTATCACTTCACCATTTTACATACCTCACAGAATGTAAAATCCTCCTATGTTCCTTTTAATTTGTGGAAATAAATTGTCTGTAAAGAAATGCATATAAATATTGAAATATAAAAATTAAAAGTAAATATGTATTCATATTACCACAGATAGATTAAACTCCAAAGTGTATATTCTCAGCTCCACTTCCTGCACCGTTTTTAAATTACAATAAATCTCTTTATTTTTAATAATTTTAGTCTTAAATTTTTTAATTTTTTGCTTTTTGATCTTTGGCTTTCACTGAAATAATTAATTTATGCGACGAAAACACAGTAACAGTCAAATGTAGTTGTTTCACTCTTTCATATGCAAATGAAACCCTTTATCACACATTGAGTACATCACAGTCATTTTATCGGTCATTTGACCGTCATTATTGATGGAATTATCCATTAACTATTTTTTTTAGCAATTTTTAAAGAAAAATGTTGTAAGTGTGTTAGTAAAATCATTTTGTATGTGTTAGTTTCGGTCATACATTTCTTGTAGGGTTTCTATTGCACACATAAAAGAATAAATAAATTTTTGTTACCATTTATTTTATTTATTTTAAGTGATACTGTGATAAAATGCAAATAATCCTATTGTAATTAAATATTTCAACAAAATCATGGACGGTTTTGTACCCGAAGACAAATATCAAAAATTAGCAAGTGAATATGCCAAGGTAGGTTTTTTGAAGCAGCGAAAATTTAATTGTATAGCATAAATACTATAAACGCCCATGATTAATCAACAAATCTTGCAAAATTTGTCAAAATAATAACCATACAACAGCTTAGAGCACAGGCTTCAGTTCTAAGGAAAGCTTTATTAGAAGAGCAGGCCAAAAGTTCAACGTTAAGAGACCAACTAAAACAAAAGGAGACTACTCTAAGGCGAGCCGAACAGGAGATCGATTCTTTGGGATTTCGAAACAAACAACTGGAACATCGCGTGGCCTCTTTGCAAGATGATTTGGCTACAAGTGAAGCTAGAAAAAAAGAAAAAGAATCCAAAAAGAAAGGGAACAACGATAAAATTGAAGCGCAACAAGTTAATTTAATGAGTGGACATAAGGATGACATTTCCCAAGACTCTTTGATATTTGAAGAACTGCAGAAGAAGATTATGGAAAATGCTGAATTAACTTCACTGGTATTTTTTATTTATATATTATAATAAAACTGTTTTGTTGACTGTTTCCTTTTCGTTTTTTAATAAAAACAGATTGATGATAAGGAGAGAAGTTTGCAAATGCATTCGGAGCATATTAAAAGTATGGAACAAATGATAGAAAAACACAACCTGGAACATGCTGATGTAGAAAAACGACTCCGCAAAGAAATGGAAACCTTACAAAGTCGTAATCAAGAATTGGAAACCAAACTCGTGGAGGCCGCTAGTATGGTTCGTTAGACAATATTATTTATCATAACATAATCAATTAACATTTGAAACCATTTTAGTTGGGTAGTGAAGATGCATTGAGTGCATCAGGCAGTGACTACACACCCTACCATAATAATAACCAAATACCACATAGTTCACAACAGATGATGTCATCTGAGTGTCGCATAACAAATTTGGAAAAAGAGGTGGCACATTGGCGTTCACAGTTCGAACTGTCCAAACTATATACTGATACTCTACACACAAAACCTATTATTGAGCCAAATGTTCCATTGAATGCAAGTACATCACCAGGAAATATATTCAACTGCAGTTCGACAACATCGGCTGCAGGCCTCACTTCTATACCGTCAGTTGCAGATGGTAAAAGGTAAAATCTTAATATTTGCTTTCACAAAGCTATTGCTACAGGTTTTTAATATTACAGCTCACGCGATTCGAAAACTGAGCAAACTATACCAACCACCAAAGAATTGTTACTATTTAATAATTTGGGGAAAAAGTTCGAAGATCTATTGAAGGAAAAGCTTTTAGCAGAATCTCGACTTGCTAGTTTTGTAACAGAAGTTGACCATTTACAAAATTGTCTCGAAAATGCTACGCAAGAACTTAAGGGTAAAGATGAACAATTGGATAGCATTAATCAGGCTTTGCATTTACTGGAAGAGGACTTGGTAAGAAAAATTTTTCAACGTATTTTTACATCAATACTAAATAAACATCTCATTTCAAACGATAGACAACAACTCGCGTTAATTATGATGAACAAATTAGTGTTTTGACCGAACAGGTCATTAGTCTTAGTGAACAATTGGCTGCCAGCAAATAAAATAATAAAGTTCGCCTGGATTGCCTACTCAAATGTTTGTTTCTATTATTTAAGAATTCTTACTTTTATGCTTAGCCTAATAGTTACCGACATGTAATTATTTAAAGAAAATCCTCAATTGTATATAACATAAATAAATTATATAATGAAAACAAATTTAAATTAATTTTTAACTATAATTTACATAACAGGAATTTTTATATACATACGAATATATTTATGCATCTGTATATGAATTAGTCTAACTTAATAGCAAATGAAGCTCCACAGGAACAGCCCTGTTCTGCCAAAGGATTAGCTAACATTCGAAATCCTGACCGTATGAGTTCTGTGTGATAGTCGACAGTGGATCCGGTGCAATATTCTAAGGAAACATTATCTATAACAACTTTGGCTTTGTCTTCACCAAATTGCAAATCATCCGGATTCATTTTATTGTCTAAATCGAATTTATATTGAAATCCCGAACAGCCACCACCTTCTACAGTAATCCGCAAAAAACTTCCATCCTGGCATATTTCTCTTAATCTTTTGAGGCAAGAATCACTAACTAATAGTTTATTTTCCGTTTTAGAAGTTGCGACGCTTTCAGATCTCAAAGAACTTGAAGTAATTAAAGTTCTTTGCGGAGATAATATTCTAAAACTAAAAGAATTGATAAGTTATTTTTATTTATTTACATATGTGTATCTAATATTACCACTGACGAGAAGGTCTGAGAATATTTCGTAAAAAAGACATTTTTTAAATTAATAAACTTTTTCTTGTAATTTCTACAATTTCACAATTTTTTTATTTTACGCAATTATCAGTTGCAAGTTTATTTGGAATTGAGAATCAAAATAAAAGTAGAAAACATATGTTTTTTGTTTTGTTAATTTTTTTCTGTGATTGGCAACTCGTTATACCCTACACCACATTCATAAGAACTATCACTAAAGGGCCCTTCAAACGATCACACTTTACGTACGACAAGTCTAATGAAAAAGTAAAATGAAATTCCATTCGTATGACAAAAAAGAGAATAAAAGTCGTATGATTTATAACAAAGTAAGATGGAAACAGTTGTTTCACTTTTTTTGTGTGTGTTTACATAAAAATACATCCCTGATCTAATGCGACTTGCTTGTTTTTTGAATCATTTCAAAAAATGAACAGAGTCATACGACTGTCAAATTTTCCATCCGTTTTTTCTCTCAATGTGTGATGGTTTTATTACATATTACGTTTAGACGATCCCATCCGATCTCTTCTACACAAAATTCTGACAGATCATATTACTTGTGTGCTCGTATGAAGTGGGCTTAAGTAATACCCATTTATATATTTTGGGCTTAAATGTTTTACTGTATTGAATAAAGAAATAAGATTAATATTATATAAAATCACTTTTTATCACATTTCAATGTTTTAAAAAATTCCGCATGAAGTGTGTCTACAATTCGCCTTTATGGAATTTAAAATTCTTACATTATTTTAATAACAGTTGGCAACACAAAAGAGAAAAATATAAACAATAGAATCGAAAAAACACACGTGCAACATAAACATTTTGGATTTTAATTATTTTTTATATTTTCTAAAATAATAACAAATATAAATCATGGCGAGAAGACCAGAACATTCAGCCCCACCAGAAATTGTAAGGATTTAAAAATTATTAAGTTTTTGACGAGTTTTAATTGTTTTAATATTTTCCAGTTTTATAACGATGATGAGGCCAAGAAATATTCCAACAAGTATGTAATAATTACATTTTATATTTTACAAAGTAACCTCTATTTTTATCGGTTATTTCAGCACAAGAATTATAGAAATTCAAGTGGAAATGGCAGAGCGAGCTCTGGAATTGTTGACACTAAATGAGGATGAACCGTGTTTGATACTTGATATTGGTTGCGGTTCTGGTCTCTCTGGAAGTGTGTTGGAAGATAACGATCACATCTGGGTGGGTATTGATATTTCGAAAGCCATGCTGGATATTGCGGTGGAAAGGGAAGTAGCAGGTGATGTTATATTGGGCGATATGGGACAAGGTATGCCCTTCAAGCCGGGTACTTTCGATGGTGCTATTTCGATATCAGCCCTGCAATGGCTGTGTAATGCAGATAAAACCTCACATAATCCACACAAACGTTTATACAAATTTTTCTCCACACTGTTTTCTTGTCTTACCAGAACGGCCCGCGCTGTTTTCCAGTTTTATCCAGAAAATGCCGACCAAATTGAAATGGTAACTTCACAGGCCATGAAAGCAGGTTTCTATGGGGGTATCGTCGTCGATTATCCTAACTCAACCAAAGCGAAAAAGTACTTCCTTGTATTAATGACTGGCGGTGCCGCTACAATGCCAAAGGCTTTAGGTAAACAAATTATAACAATTCTTACGTCTTCTATTATTAATCTGTTACTTTTTTTAGGCAACGAGGAAGACGAAAGGCGTATAAGTTATATTAAAAAGAGAGAAATGTGCAAGGAAGCTCGCGGTAAACCCATGAAGAAATCTCGTGATTGGATTTTGGCTAAAAAGGAACGGAGAAGGCGTCAAGGTTTGGATACCAGACCAGACACCAAGTACACGGGGCGTAAGCGTAGTGGACGCTTTTGAATTAATAACCAATATTATTATTATTGTTATAATAAATTTAGTTCTTTACGTTAATAAAATACATAGCACATCATTAGCAGGTTCTCCTTCTACAACAACAAATAATAATAATAAATTATTTACAATTTTCTACGTAAAACTAATACATAAGCTAAACTGATTCTCCTTTTTCCTTTCGTTTATCTTCAGCAGCCTTTATTGCTCTTGCCTTAGGAGTATCATAGGATGATTCCACCATAAACTTGAGGTATACAAGTACACAAACGAAGGCAATGCCAAATAGTAAAATTTCATTCTGTGCTATTAAAGCATGTTCCTTTGCTTGAGCCTCGGTACGTTCGTATTTTGCTTTAGCTGCTTTCCGTCGTTCAAATGATTTTCCATAGTGAGCTTTTGACCACTCATCGAAATTGTAAATAGGCGTGCGGCCCTCAGTATCGGAGACCTTTGATTTCGTAAAGCGAGATTTATAAAATTTTGTTGATGGGTCATCTTCGACTTCTGGTTCTTCTCTTACGGTTTCTTCAGTTGCCTGAGCATATTGTGAACCCGCTGTATGTATTATACCTACAAATATATTATATGTAGTCTAAGTTATAAAATCGAATCTAACAACATACCTTTATCATACAATCTGCGCAATCGAAAGTTTCCTAGAACTTCATACGCCTGAGTTATTTCACGAAACTTTATGGCTGCACTCTCGCTACCCTGATTTTTGTCTGGATGATATAACATGGACAACCTGTAGTAGGCTGCTTTTATTTCTCCCTGAGTCGAGTTCTTTGAAATACCCAGGGCTTCATAATAATTAGCGTTGTAGGTTGCACTTCCCGTAGATATGTTTGAATTTTGAGCAGCTCTTGTGGACAAAATCTTACGTATTATTAAATTATATCGCTGCGTTGTAAACATTCTACATAAACACTAATTAAATACTTATTACAATTAAATATTTTTGTTAATTATAAACAAAACAATCCCGTGTTATATCATTTTTTGAGACAAAAACAAATTAAAACAGCTGATTGAACTTGAAAATTGAATGCACCTTCTTCCCCTCAATTTACAAATAGTTACATTAAATTAATAACCTTTAAATTTGGAATTTATTACCCAGGAATTTACGTTCTTTTACATTATCAGTAATGACCTTCAAGCTAAGAATTCTTGATCTGTTTCAATCCAACAATTTTGGCTGATATAATTACATTGTTTATCTTATTTTAATATTTTATATAAGTATGTATTTGTAGGGGTCGTTAGGAGGAATGGATGTTCTCATAGATAATAAGAATACTTGTAATATAATTTTTATTGGCCAAGTGGCTACATGTATTACATTTGAATAAATAAATAAAAAAAATTACAAAATATCAACGTTTTTTAACTTTATCTCTATTTACTGTTTATACTTAATATTTTTGATATTAGAAAGATTTAGAGCCAATCTTTAGGTGAAAGATTAGCGATTAAATTAAAATTAAACCTCGAATGTTGTTTTTGAGTACTCAATTAGTTAATTTTGTTTGCAAGTTTAAGCGCCCAATGGAGGTGGTTTAATCTTAAGCATGAAATGGAAAAGTGTAAACAGCTAATACAAAAAAAATAATACAATTTAAAACATTAAAATTTTCTATTTATTGATTAGTATAAATTACGGACACTTCAAAATACATTTTTTTGTTATGAATTTAAGTTTTCATTAATTTTCATATTAAATTTAAATTGTCTTCTTTCTTAAAAAAAAACATGCATTGTTTTGATAACAAACAGTGACGTTTTCTTTTGTTTGTATGGCAACACTGGGAAGTTTAATCTTGTACTCAAAAACATCAAATGGGATTAACATCGGATTAAATTTATTTTTAGATTAACTAATCTGATTATTAATTGGCATTTGATTGCCAACTCAAAACCCCGGTCTTAATTATTTTTAGACTGTAGATTATTTTCACTCTGGAGTTAACATAAATGTGTTATTGCTAACATAACAAATATTAATTATTAAATGACAAATTTTGACAAAAATAATGTCTTCACTATAGTCTAGTCCAAGATGCACTTATTACATCATGGTCTATCCTAAAGTCTTCACTATAGTCTTGCCTATAGTATTGTCTAAAGTCCTTACTATAATCTAATCTATAGTCTTGTCTAATGTCTTCACTATAGTCTTGTCTAAAGTCTTCACTATAGTCTATAGTTTTGCATATAGCCTAGTCTATAGTCTTGTCTGGCTTGTCAATATTTTGGACAATAGTATTATTTGCAGAATTCAATAGTAGTTTTGACAAATTGTCCAAATATTGGCTATAGTCTTGGGGGTACGTACATAGACTTTCTACGTTGTACACGATGTCTCTATAGCTCTAGAGATAACAACAAATATTAAAAAAAATTAGGCTCAGCAAATTTCCAACGTTGCCACAGAATTCTCGTGTGTTACAAAGATACAACTCTGTTGGTTTGTGTCTCCACTTACATTTTTTCTTACAAACACTTCCTAAAAACATGTCAATTTTTAACATTTATCGTTTGGTAGCACTGACAATTTCCGTCCTCCATCTTTTTGCATTGAGGTTTTCAAGATGGTAAGTTGTGTGGCCCAATGTTTTTTCATAAAAATCAGTGAAAAATTAACAAAAAAAAATAATAAACAATTGAAAATACCACGATAACAATGCAAGAGTGCAAAAAGTAAGTGAACCATAAATATTTGCCGAATTTAGTGAAAAAATAAACAAAAATCGTGAAAAACATAACCTAGAAATATACCAATAACTTTTTTATTTATTATTTTAGCCGCCCAAGAAGGACTCAAAATCCTCGGCTAAACAGCCCCAAAAAACACAAAAGAAGAAGGAAGGTAGCGGTGGCGGCAAAGCCAAGAAGAAGAAGTGGTCCAAAGGAAAAGTTAGGGACAAGTTGAACAACCAAGTGCTTTTCGACAAAGCCACCTACGAAAAATTGTACAAAGAAGTCCCTCAGTACAAATTGATCACTCCTTCCGTTGTTTCCGAACGTTTGAAGATCCGTGGCTCTTTGGCCAAGCGTGCTTTGATTGAATTGCGCGAAAAGGGTAAGAAAGACTTATAATTTATCTTTTTTAAATTATTAATTTGAATTTTTGTTTATTTTTAGGTTTGATTAAACAAGTCGTTCAACATGCCTCACAAGTAATCTACACACGTGCCACTAAGGGTGATGATGCGTAAATTTCCTTTTTTACCTTTAACATGGACATGTTAATTACAAGACTTTTTTGTATTAAAGTGATTTAAGGGTAAACAACCTAATGTGTTTTTATTTAACTATATTGGAGTAGATACTTGATGCTAAAAAACAGAAATCATTGTGTTCAAAGAACTTATTATTATATTTTTTTTATAATCGCCGTCTTCATTTGTTGACATGAGTTTAAATTGTGTATTTATGGTGATTGCGTTTGTTAAATTTTAAATTGATAAATTTATTTATAAATTAAGAAATGCTAGTTGTCGATTCTTGCTATTTAAAATAATTTGTATACTCGGATTATAGCTACCACCCATTATCAGAGCTTAAAAGGAATGAATTCACCTTAGTTTTTATTTCAGAATTTTATTTCTTTGGTTTAAAATTAATTCCCAAGAAGATTCGTTTTTTGTAGGAAATGATTATTCTTCATCAGTGAATTATTTAAACTATATAAAGATTTATTTGTTGAATTTAAATCTTAAGGTTCGTGTTTGAAGAATTTTCTCTTTCAATCGTTACCTTTTATTAACTACGATACCGTTGTAGTCTTTTTTTAATTAAAATATCGCTTGAAAAAATTTTGATTCATATAACCGGTTATTAATGAATTCTTTATGCAAAGCTATTGTTAGTAATTAAACTAGATTTTCGAAAGCAACGCTTGGAAAAAATTAATTCTATATGGACTTAATTCCCTTATATTCTTTAATTCCTTCTATTACAAATTGAATGAAAGAAACAATTTTACAGAATGCTTTTGAAATATACCTATAAAACAAAACTTTCATTCAATCTATTTCAAGTTGAGTGTTTGAAAAGTTTTTAAATTTCAATTTGTAATATTCGAACAATAGGAACTGTTGAAATTTATTTTACTTCAATTTGTTACAGATTGATTGCAAATAAAATTAATTCGTTAAGAAGGAATTTAACATCCTATAGGAATTAATTCATTTGTTAATTAGGGAATGAATTCTTTTAGATGTTCTCATTTCTCACTAGGTTCAGGGCTCATCGATATCGGTTCGTCCCCTAAACTTCCATCAATTTTAATACATCACATAGAAAATATTTTAAATATATAGAGACTATAACAACATAGATTGGAATGGAATATTTTTATGATATTAAAATTTAATTATTATTCTTTACTTAACTCTAATGTGTTAATGTTAAGTGTTATTATTATTATTATTATTATTACAATATTGTTAGTGATCCTTTTGCTTATGTTTCGATCGTAAAGAAGCGTATCTGAAATAATTGTGACTCTTGGATGAATTTTCACAATATATCTGTTGCTAGATCTTCACGACTTTTTGGTGGACTAGATACGCCTGTCTTATGGAGGGTTCAACGAAATTAGGGTTGTGCTGGAAATGGTGATAATATGACATGAGGTGTAGATGTTGATAGTTTGAATGCATTTTTTGCAGGAGGTTACGATTCAAATAATAATGTTGAATTTAAACTTGATATTGTTGATAATTTTGGCAATTCCTTTTCATTTCATTGTTTGGATAAATTGGTTTTTCATAAGGTTTTGAGTAAGGTAAAGTTTGGTTTAATTGGTCCTGACTGTAATCCGGTCCGATATTTCAAACTAATTTTATCACATATTTTATATAACATGATTTGATCAATTGTATTCTGGTGTTCCCCTGGGTTACGATTTAGTCCCTTGTATTATTTATATATTTATAGGTGAATAAACTTTATTCTGCATCCTGTGAAAGATTTGTGTATGTTATTTTACCATTTAAGGATGATCTTACTTGATCTGAATCTTTTACAATTGATGTCAACAGTTGTTAATAATATCTTGCTATAATCCTACTAAAAATAAAGCAATTATTTTTGGTACTCATACCATTCTAATGATATTAGAAATGTTTAGATTGAAAATATTATTTGACACAGGAGTTTGGGTATAGTTCTTAATGATCATCTTTCTTTTGACGATCATATACATATCTAACTCTCTGTATTAGAATAAAAGTTGATCATGATTATTTATTATCATTTACTATCTTGAGGTTGTGTCTGGTTCTTCTGTGGTAAAAAGTGTCGGGATTATATATCGATACCCTATATTCAAAAAGTGCTAAATCAATAATGTCTAGTTTTCAGGAAAGCAAAAAAACTATTTAATTCGTGAAATATTGCACTAAAAGAAAATATTTCTTCCATAATACGTTTTTAACATCCTTACTAATTCTTACCTATGAAAAAATTTTAATATTTTGCACATTTTAGCGACTTAATTAAGATAGCACTTTTTGGTCGACAAAAAACAAATATTTATTCTAAGTTAGCATGTTTTGTTCAAAGAATAGAACAAAAATTTCTTCTAATAATATGCGTTATTTTATAATTTTATGAAATGTTTTTTTTTTTTTTTAAAGGGATATAAGTCAAACCAGTAAGTCCAATAAGATGCATTTACACCATTTAAGTAGAAAAACTCATGGCATATCTGCTTGTTTACTATTCCTTATTCTCAGTACAAATATTTTAAATTATGAAAAGTTTTTGAATATAAAAAGTACCAATATTTTTGAATAATACTCCATAATTTGCACATTTAAATACTTTTTTATAATCAAAATTCTAAATTGGAACCATAGAATGAAATAACTTTACAATTTTCGGAAAAACATTATTTAAAGTATAAAACTGGCTTTATATACAAATATATAAATGATCATATCTTAAAACTATACATTCACACATTGTTTTGTGTTCAGCATGTTCATCTTGTTAATATACAAAATAAATTTTAAATAAATTTGAAGTTTTAAAAAATGTTGTAAAATTTGTATGGAAGTTAGCACTTATTTTCTTCAATAAAAATTTAACTTTGAGATAGCATATTAACAAAAATTGTTGTTAAAAGTGCAAAAATTACTTTTTTGGTTTCAAATTTATACCAGACGTGGATCATGCATTGAGTGATCCTTTGCATCAAAAACTCACTTTGCCCAAAATTGAGTTCGCACTTTTGAATATAGGGTCACGATATCCTCATATGTTCATCAATTTCTTGTGCTTATTTTCGGTGACTTTGTGAAATATCGCAATCCAATTTTTATACCCTCCACCACCATCAGTGGTGATAGAGGGTATATATAACTTTGTCATTCCGTGTGTAACACCAAGAAATATTCATCTGAGACCCAACAAAGTATATATATTCTGGGTCCTTATCAAATTCTGAGTCGATTTAGCTATGTCCGTCTGTCCGTCTGTCTGTGTAAAACACGCTCACGATAAAACGAAGCAATAGAGCTTAACCAAATTCACCCAAAATGTTCTTCATTTTCCTAAGTTGTTTTGGTATTGCAAATGGGCAAATCGGTTCACACCGGGAAAAGTTATGAATCAAAATTTAAAACACCTCGGAAAAAAATAAGCATTTTTACACATTCTGATGTAATTTTCTCGAAAACTATGCAAGATAATTCCATGGAAATCACCATACCTTCGTTTCTGCACAAGATCTTGATCCCTGCTGAAAATTGCCAGAATCGGTCCACAATTTCATATACCTCCCATACAAAAGTACATATTCCCGGAAAATGGGTTTTTTGTTAATAACTTCTGCCACAATGTCGATATCTTCACAAAATTTTACAAATTAAAATCTTATGTCAATAGAATTCTTTCAGAGGAAAATTTTATGGATCGGACCATAATTGGACATAGCTCCCATACAAGGTCCCCTCCCGAAAATCACTTAAACGCGCATAACTCATACTAAATTAAGATATCCATATAAAATTTGGTATAAGTATTGCCCATATGCATAGAAATATTACTGTGAAAGTTTTTTCCGATCGGTCCATAATTGGTCATAGCTCCCATACAAGGTCCCCTCCCGAAAATCACTTAAACGCGCATAACTCATACTAAATTCAGATATCCATAAAATTTGGTACAAGTATTGCCCATATGCATAGAAATATACTGTGAAATTTTTTTCCGATCGGTCCATAATTGGTCATAGCTCCCATACAAGGTCCCCTCCCGAAAATCACTTAAACGCGCTAACTCATACTAAATTAAGATATCCATATAAAATTTGGTACAAGTATTACTCATATGCACAGAAATATTACTGTGAAATTTTTTTCCGATCGGTCCATAATTGGTCATAGCTCCCATACAAGGTCCCCTCCCGAAAATCACTTAAACGCGCATAACTCATTACTAAATTAAGATATCCATATAAAATTTGGTACAAGTATTGCCATATGCACAGAAATATTACTGTGAAATTTTTTTCCGATCGGTCCATAATTGGTCATAGCTCCCATACAAGGTCCCCTCCCGAAAATCACTTAAACGCGCATAACTAAATTAAGATACCATATAAGGTTTGGTACAAATATTACTCATATGCACAGAAATATTACTGTAATTTTTTTCCGATCGGTCCATAATGGTCATAGCTCCCATACAAGGTCCCCTCCCGAAAATACTTAAACGCACATAACTCATTACTAAATTAAGATATCCATATAAAGTTTGGCAGAAATATTGCTCATATACAGAGAAATATTACTGTGAAATTGTTTTCCTATCGATCCATAATTGATCATAGCTCCCATACAAGGTCCCTTTCAGAAAAACAATTAAAGGCACATAACTCATTACCAAATAATGATATAAATAAATACTATTTTTGTTCATAAATACTATTTTGTAATGCAAAAAGCAATTAATGTTATTTCAAAAATTTTCACGATCGGTCTATATTTGGTCATATCTCTCATACTAGGTCTGCCCCTAAAAGCGCTCTAACCGTATTTAACTATTTGCACTATCAATTTGTGTAGAACAAAATTATATATATGTATGTATTTTTAAAATCCTTAAATCTTTCACACACATGCATACATGCAATACGAGATATCGCTAAAGCATATCTTAGGGCGCTATAAAAATTTAAATAAAAGTGGCGTTTCTAATGTTCAATAAATCTTGGAATTTAAGCTGTTTAAATCTTGGGATTTTTCTATTTAAGACATGTGAAAACTTATTTCTACAAATATTTTATTAATTAGAATGTATTAATACAAAAGTTGCTGGTGGAGGGTATTAAGATTCGGCTCAGCCGAATATAGCACTCTAACTTGTTTTTTTTAATTTGATCAGAAGTGTATCCGCGAGGTAATTATTTTAGAATTTTCAGACTACGGATGCTCGGCATTGGAACTGTCTGCCTCAAGAAGTACATATCCTTTTTCACATATTTAGTCTTTAGACTTCAACGCTATTTTGGTTTTATCTGAATACATTCATGAATTTTTACGAATGTGTGTGTGGTGTATGTATGTATGTATGTATGTATGTATGTATGTATGTATGTAGTATGTATGTATGTATGTATGTATGTATGTAGTATGTATGTATGTATGTATGTATGTATGTATGTATGTATGTATGTATGTATTGTATGTATGTATGTATGTATGTATGGTATGTATGTATGTATGTATGTATGTACATGTATGTACAAAGCAGTAACATTACACTTAATTATGATATCGAAATTTATTACTCCCTGCATTTCCGAACGATCAGATGCAGCGAAGTGATGTATTTCCGAACAGGCCAGGTTTTATATTCTTTAACGATATTTGACGCTTCAATGACTTTTACACAAACCATTGATTATGTAAGTATATACAAAAATTCGAATATTTTTGTGAAGCTATTTTTTGCACTTTTTTTAAAAAAGTTAAATTAGTTTAAGGTTAATTATTTTTTTTAAATTTTTAAAATGTGATATAAAATTTAAGGACTGTCTGGACAACATAATAAATTTATTTATTTATTATTCCCACAAAATCTATTATAAAATTATGTCTGTTTTCATAATACATTAAATTCGAATACTTATGAGAGACACTGTATGTATGTATGTAATAATAAATATGAAAACCACATTTGCAATAGTTTTGTAATAGTGCAGAAAAAATAGTTTTTTTCGGATTTTTTGTTCAAATTATGATTCATGTAAAGTCACATAGTGGGCCAATTTGGCTGATTTTCATACCAAAACTGAATAATATAATTTTTTTTAGTGAATTTTATTAATTTCTACATATAATGAAATTCAAAAAGTCGACTTTCCGACTTTTAGCATTTTTTACGGGTCGACCAAAAAACAACATTTGTTATATCGACTTTGTCCAACTTATTTCGACTTCTATTTACAAAATTGTCGAAAAAATCGAAGCCGATATTAAAAAATTATTGAAAATTCAATTGAAAAAGAAATGAAAAAGTCAACAAAATCTGAAAAGTCGATATTGAACTCAATAATGTATTTTTTGACAACATTAGTAAACCCTATGTTTCAAGTGTTTTACTGCTTTTCATTACAACCCTGAATTTCTTTGTGTAGAGAAAAAAGTAATATTATTATTTTCATACGCTAGAGTGCAGCACTTGATCATGTGATTGGGCAGAAAGTTTTTCGTAAAACAGTCACCTGTCACTGAAAATAATCTGAAAAGTTTTTGTGAGTTATTAATTTTTACAAACGTAATTTATAAATATTTTCCGAAAAAAAAATAAAAATATATACTTGTATCTATTGCATTGTGTTGATTTTTGTTGAAATGTGATTTTTGATTGTAGTTATTCTCGATTTTGCAGATTTTCTTCGAAAAACTTTTACACACACACGAACTGAGCTGAAACAATGGCCACCCAATTACGTACCGTTGTTGGAAAAACGTTCGGTTGGCTCTTTGTTGCCGTAAGCACCGTACTCATCTTCTATCATGTCTTCACAGGAAAGGGTGAACGAGTGAGGCGTTGGTGGTTCCTCTCGGCTTCTTCGCCTTACATGTGGGCATGTCTGGGTATCGGTTTTGGCCGTGGCCTTGTCCGTCGTAGGTGCTGCCCTCGGTATTCACTACTACTGGAACCAGTATTGTGGGTGGTGGTGTTAAGGCTCCCCGTATCAAGACTAAGAACTTGATTTCTGTTATTTTCTGCGAAGCCGTCGCCATTTATGGTCTTATCACTGCTATCGTCCTCTCCGGTTTGTTGAGAGTCTTTCAAAATGGAGACAGCACTTCTAGTCAAACCGTGATGAATAATAATTGGACCGCCGGTTATGTTATGTTCGGTGCTGGTTTAGCTGTTGGTTTAGTCAACTTGTTCTGCGGTATTGCGGTTGGTGTAGTGGGCTCTGGTGCTGCTTTAGCTGATGCTGCCAATTCTGCCTTATTTGTGAAAATTCTTATTGTTGAGATTTTCGGATCAGCCATTGGTCTCTTCGGCTTGATCGTGGGCATCTATATGACCTCTAAAGTCAAAATGGGTGACAAGGAGTAAATGCTCCCATCTTATAATTATTAGCCGTAAGCGAAAATGTAAGTATAAACAACAATCATGTGAACATTCACGTGAATTCGTAAATTTCTAATAAAAATGTATTTGTTTTCAGCACGATTTTTGCAATATTAGACAAGATCACAAATTCTTTAACCATTCCATCTAATAAGAATTACATTGGAAATACCAAATAAAGTAAATGATAAATATACTTAATAACGAAAACTATTCTCGTAACAGTGAAATATCTTCAGATACAGATGAGTGTGTGTATGGGTACACGGAAATAGATCCGTAGAGAAATTCTCTTTGCTACAAATGAAATGAAAATAATCACATTATTGGCCTAATTTATATCGTTCTTTTTATAACTCCTATTTGTTAAATCTTTTGTAAAACTAGGATTGCAAAAAATCAGCATCAATATGCAGCCCCAGTTTTCTATAAGATTTGAATGCCAGCACTTAACATATAACTATCTAATTGTAATTTGTTTTTTTTTAGTTAATCTTCCTTTTTGGATTACATTGTTAACCTTTGTGTATTATTTTTAAAAGTTTATATTACTATACATATTACAAATATAAAAATGATTTATTATATTGATTGTATGCTATTGTATAAAAAGTATTCGATATATAAATAAAAATGTTCTTTTCTTTCAGGGAAAAATTATTATAGTTTTATTTTGTATCTTCCTTAATGGGGTGGTGGTAGTTTGTTTTGTTTATACTAATATAGAAACAAATGCTTGATTTTGTAATTTTTCATTTGCGCCTAAATGACGGCAATGGTTTTTATCATGATGTTATAAGTAAGGGTTTTTATTTATCAGGAATATGATTCTCAGAAATGACACCGAACACAATTTTGAAATTTATATAAAAACATTTAATTAATAAAGTTTTTATCGATTAATTATGTATTTTTTCAGTCTTGACATACATAGTATGGTTGTGGTTTAAATTCGAATCCTTCCTTATTTGCCTTAGTCGTTTTTCGGTTATTTAAAATCCCGGCTAATAAAACTATAATTAAATAGAAATAAATTGCTTTAGCCATTAAAATTATTTATCTACAGGGATTTTATAAATAAAAAACAATTAATAAAAATTAATATTTTAATCGCGTCTACAAAAGTTTTTAAAAAATGGGATTAGTTTAAACTGGTGATTAAAATATTACCTTAAAATACAACGCTGATACTAGTATGACAACTGCATCTAACTTCACATTATAATGTACAGAGGAATTTGATTTTGTTTTTAAATCTTAATTTTTAAGCAATTTTTCGAAAAATTTAGTTTTTCTGCAATAAAATATTGAGTTAAAACGAAAATAAATGTCTTTTCATTTTCCGCGACGTGTTAAAGACTTGCCCAAATTAGAACTAGATTCTGAAGATGAGTTCAACACACCTTGTAAAAAAAAATTACCAATGAAGATGCACAGGAAAAGTAAAACTTAAAATTCTTAGGGCACAAAAAATGGAAAACTATTAATTTACAATTTCTTTTTAGGGCGTATGAATCTAATAAAGAAAATGCTGATAAAGCCAATTCTGGGTCAACAAATTCGTTCAACAGTTTACGAATGCTGTAGGTTATATGCAGATATTTTCACTTTATAAAATTTTATAATTTTCTATTGGTTTCAGACCCAAAAGAAGAGCCGAGCTTCCCACTTTAGAATCAGATTCCGAGGAGGAAGACTTAGCAAAGAAGGACAATCTTAATTGTGCTATACTTAATGATTCATTTCTAGTAAGCCCTGGGAAAAGCGATAGAGAAGATGCTAGTTCTAAGGAATCGTCTGCCATCAAAGCAATTCCAATAATACAAGCAATGATATTTCGTTATTGTCCCGCTTTAATGACATGGGCTTAAAGAGTCCCTTAAAGGATAAGATACAGCCTGTTAAACAATCACAAGATTCAATGGATGGTAACAATGTTAACCAAAAAGACGCAGCAGTGGATAAAAATATTCCAGCATCGCAAACCAAGAAATAATACCACCGCAATAGATAGTCAATTTGCTACTCCACAGATCCGATCGTTTTCAGTTCAGAGACGACCTCGTGATTTGTGTTCGACGCAATCACAAAAAATAAATCCGCTATTGTCAATGAGTTTCGTACACAAAAAGTGTTATTTCAAACGCCAATGGCCATATCACGGGCTCCAATAATGCAAACGATAGTATATCGCTTTCTCTATGTGATACAATCAATGAAGGCGGAACGCCATCAACGGCAGAAAAAAACTCCCCAGTGTACAAATGAAAAACAAACTAAAGATAGCGGCATAGATCAAAGAAATCATTAGAAGGTGCCTTCCTTGAAGCAAGCAAAGAACAAATGAGAAGAGTAACGATACGTCTAAAAACTCTTGCAATTACAACGAAAGACAAAACCACTGTGGTAACTATTAATAACGCAAGTTATATTATTATACAAAAATTAGGCTGTGGCGGTTCCAGTTCTGTATATCTGGCTAAAAGGAAAGATACCTCTAAAGAATGCGCATTAAAGGTAACTTCTACATTAAGACTTGAAATCTTTTGTTTGTAAATTAAAATCACTAAAATTTTATAAAAAGGTCGTTGATCTACAAGGTGATCCTGCTGTTGTGGAAGGATATTTGAACGAAAACAAAATTGCTAGCTAAACTTCAAGGAAATGTATGCGTAGTTTCGCTCTACGAGTAGTATGTGTCCTTTCATATATTTTGGCTAAAAAATAATTATTTAATTCTTATAATTTTGTTGTAGTCAATTATTGCAAAAAGAATCAAAACTTTTTCTAGTGATGGAAAAGGAGACTCCGACTTGCATAAAATTTTACAAAGTTATACCACCAATTTGCCTTTATATGTTCTTACAAACTTCCTATATCAAATGCTACAGGCTGTTAATTATATTCATCAAAATGGTGTGATACATTCGGATCTAAAACCGGCCAACTTTTTAATGGTCAATGGACGTTTAAAACTAATCGATTTTGGTATTGCCAGCAATATAGCCATTGATTCAACTAGGCATAATAAATTTTCACAAGCGGGTACATTTAATTATATAAGTCCTGAAGCGTTGACGGACACATCCACGGGCAGCAGTCCTATGCGCAGTAATCAACCGAAGATAAAGGTATACATTCCTATTTATATGTACATTTTATTTTATAAAATATATTCTAATATTGATTTTTATAGATCTCTACAAAGTCTGACGTCTGGTCACTGGGTTGTATATTATATTTGCTTCTATATCAAAAGACGCCCTTTGGACATATAAAAAATCTTTACACCAAATATCTGCTATTTGTAGTCCAACACAAACAATTGAATATGGCCCTCTTCCGCCGTATTATCCTGCCATGCTGGTTCATGTCATTATCAATTACATTCTATATTTTATGTGCAAGAATACAGTAAATAATTTTTTTTTCTATTTCTCATTTATAGATGGTGAAAAAATTGCTTGCAACACAACCCAAAACAGCGCCCATCATGTGCCGAGTTATTAAAATATCCCTTTAATATGATAATACCGATACAGAATCTGTCATTGCCAACAAAATAATTGCGTTTTAATAAGTTTATAATATAATTTAGTGCATTTAATTACGTTATAGAATAAAAATAAATTACATACTCTTGCATACATATAATGAAATTAGATTGTTAAAATGTTATTTTAAGATATAGCAATAATAATATTTTAATTGGTTTTCCGTTTCGTTTAATAAAAATAATTGTAATATAGGGGTATAGCTCAAAAATTCTAAAACATTTCTCTTTTGGCTAATGTATTAAGATAATGAATAGAAATGAACTAACTGCCAGTTATCTAAAAACTAAAAAATCCTACTGAAAATAAAAATAGTATATCACCACTTTAAAAGGAAACAAACGCATTTTTTGTAATTTTATGGTTATGTTTAATTTTTATAATATAATCATAATTGCATTATTAATGTATCTTTATTGCATACTACTTTAGCGCTTAATTTTTATACGATGTGTTCCGCATTATAAGATTGGGACAGACATTAAATATCCTAAAAATACACAGAAGAAAAGTGATTAAAACAAATTTAATTGAGAATGGGGTGTATTTATACTTACGCCCTGACCATTTGAGTGCTGTAACGCTCTTATTTGTTCATCTTTTGAATGCATAATATTACGCCAATGCTCATCTTGTTCTTCAGCTTGTTTCATCAGGTCGGACAGTGTATTTTCCTGAAAAATTATGTATGAGAATAAATAAATAAATTTGTTGGTAATAGTTAGTGGTAAACTTACAGTTTTTCTAGCGAGTTTGGTGAGCTCGTCGATACGAATACGCAGGATAGAATTTTCTTTGAGTAAATCATTTTTCTCAGTGTTATTAGACACAGTGTTCTCTCCGCCTGGGCTAGTACTGACGCTGGAACTGTTACTCCGACTGCCATTAGCCGAGTTGGCATTATTGTGAGAGTTTTGTGGAGCGGAAGGGCTTTGTAAGCTGTTGGACTGTGTAGATTTGTGACTACTACTGATTTGTTGCTGTTGTTGTTTAACGTGTGTGGTTAAAACCTGTTTCTACCCACTGGTTAAACGATACTGATAGAGCTGTGCCAGCACAAGCTTTAACTGCCTCTGGACACAATCGTTGTAACAAATCCCGCATATGTTTCTGATCCTTGCCCGTTTCAGCAATACCACCACTTAATGCAGGTTTGCTGGATGCAGCCAACAGCTTTTCCTGTTGCTAAAAGAGTAGATAATTTTACGCAATGTTTTATACATAATCAACTAGAAATTTGATCTACTATGAAGTGTAAATGTGTAAAAAGCGAAATAATTAAGCATTTAAGAAGAGAACTACATTTTGTTAAATTCCTCTGTCTAATCGTTGGATAGTCAACACTGCATTCTTAGTTATTTCGCTTACTTCTCGTTCTGTTTAGAATAAACAGTTGAAATATTTGTGTTGTTTAGCTTAAGTACTATAGGTAAATTGATTATCATGCACTTACAACTAAAATTGCATTAGGGCTTTGTTTGCTAACTTTAGCTTCTGCATTTTGCAAAGCCTCAACCAACTTCCAGTTTTTAGTGCGCAAATCCTAAATTAAACACAACAAGATATTAGTTTCAAAGCAAACAGAAAAAGTTAATAAATAGTAGAGAAGTAGTAGATTTCAGTTAGTTGTAGTTAAAGAAGAGGAAAAAAAGGTGTAGAAAATGTGTAGCAATGAAAACTGAAGAGTTTGGTTTAATACTTATTTTCGAATAATGTTAACAAAAGACTAGAACATTGGTGGTAGTATATTTTGGTCGAACCTTAGTTATTTGTCTTATTTTTATACATGTCAATAGTATGTGCACTTACATTATTTTTTCTTTTTGTTCTTGCAATTGTTGTAATAATTCCTTTTCACGATTGTTTAACTTCTCTGTTTCTTTTTCAACATCTTGGAGTTTTTGATTTTTGTTGGAAACATCAGCCTTTAGAGTGTCTATGAGTTTTTGTAAGTCTTCATGTTTTTGCATTTGTTTTACACTCTCCTGCAATTGTTGTTCTTTTTTCTGTACGTCAGCTTTTAGAGAATCGACCAATTTCTGAAGTTCTTGTTGTGTTTCGGCTTGTTTTTCAGTGCTTTGCAATTGTTGAGTTTTCGATGAAACGTCATTTTTGAGAATTTCGACCATCTTTTGAAGTTCAGCGTGTTCAGCAGCCTGTTGTTTAGAAGCAGTCTCAACCGAAGATAACTGTTGTTGAATTTGAGAATTAGTGGTTTGTGATTCGAGCAATTGTTGCTCCTTTTCGGCCAATTGTTTTTTTAGTGTCTCAATAGTTGTTTGTAAGCCAGAGTGCTCCTTACTTTGCTCCTGTGTTTGGTTTGCAATGTTTAAAAGTTGCTGTGTTAATTCGGCGTTCTTAGCTTGTAAAGCAGAAATTTCTTGTTGTTTTTCCATCAAACCCTTGTTACGAACCATAGTCAACTCATTTTTCATGGTTTCAAATTCTATATTTTTTTGATTAAAATCTGATCTAACCGATTCGAGAGCATTTTGCAAATTACGAATTTCAACCTGAGCATCGTTAAGTTCGTTTTCTAACTGTTTGGCCTTCTCTAACTCGAAAATACGATTATTTGAGACTTGTTCCAATTCATCACGCTGTTGTTCCAAAGTACGGATCTGTTGAGCTTGATTTTGAATGATTTCGCTCTTCTGTTGGGATTCTTCGACAGCTTGTCTAGAAGCATTCACCATACAAGTGAGATCAGCAATACATTTCTCTTTGAGGGCATTATCGTTTTGCATCATTTGTATCTTGGCCAAGAGTTCCTGCGATCCTGATTGCTTCTCATGCATGAGTTTAGCTTGGAATTGTTGGCGTTCTAGGGACAAATTGTCATTGAGAGTTTTGATTTTCTGTTCCAACAGGGCGATGTCTTGATCTTTAGTCTGAATTTTTTCCACATATGACTTAATGGTGCTATTCATGGTTGCCCTCTCGGTATTAATTTCACTGCGTAACTCGCGTAGCTTAGCCTGAATACCTATGGAAGCTTCTTGTTCTTCGGCCAATGCCTTTTCCTTTTCTTCTAGCTGACGTTTTAGCTTTTGGCAAATATCATCGGACCACTCAGAATGTGTAGATGGCATGTCTTGTTGGCGATTCAATAAGTAATCGATCAGAATTTGAATTTCAGAGCGATTCAATTCAGCACGACGGAACAAATTCATTAAAAGTGAAACACCTACAGTGTCCGACTCCGATAGTTTTTCAAGGCCAACTACAGCATCCTTTAAATCCTTTTGTTTTTATTTTGCTGCTTGTTCTTTTGTTGTGTGTTCTTTGGAGAACTTTGACGCACCTTCTCATCCAACTGTTTCACTTCTTTAATAACAACAGGAGCTGCAACCACTTCAGTTGGAGCTTGTGCATTGTTTTCAACGTTGGTTGCTTGGCGATTATCAGATTTTTTGCCATTTTTATCTTTCTTATTTTGTTGCTGGGACTTCTCTTCCTTTTTCTCAACCTTCTTCAATTCCACGGCATCCTTGGGAACTTTCACATCAAAGTGATTAGATGGTTGAGCAGTAGTTACTTCAGCAGCAGCAGTCTCTTTTACAATATTCTGGTCATTTTTATGAATTAAAATGCCGGACTTTGCTGCGATTTTTTTATCCTTTTTGCCCTTATTCTGTTTATTAATGTTCTCCTTTTCAGCATTGCTAGAGCGTCTCGAAGTCGTTTGATTGTTATAGGTTACAACTTCTGGATCAGGTTCGAACTCAACATGAGTTTTTGACAAACCATGTGGCTCATCATCAACCGAGGCTTGTTCAGAATGTACATCCGAATCCTCCTGTTCAGTTGTTGTGACTTGTTCGCGTTGTCGTTGCTTCTTCTCACGCTTCAGTTCCTTCTTCAATGCTTGCTTTTTTGGTTTTTTAAATGAAGCCTTATCTTTGCCATAGATTTTTTCTGTCATAGCCTTCTTTTCAGCCACAATTTCTTCAAAAGTTTTACGACGTAAGAACTTATTGATAAACAGAAGTGAGCCGAGAGAAGCCAAAAATACACAAGCAATTACTATTAAAATGTGTAAATCCATTATTGCATAATTTTTTTTAATAAGAATTCAACAAATGTGATCTGAAATGAATAAAACAATATATTATACTTTTAAATTCGGTTAATACTGAGGTTTGCGAAAGAAATTTATTGAAATTTAATTAAAAGAGTGATAAAGCAATGTTATATTATTTTCTTGCAAAACACAGCACAATAGATAAGTAATATGAAGAGATTCCAAAAATAAAATTTAATATAAAATTTTAAATATGTACCTATAATAAAATTGTTTGATTGTATGAAACAAAATAATAAATTACATTTTAGCAGAAGTAATAAATTCACTTGAAATGCACTTCTTATCAACAAATTCACAAAAATTAAATTTCTTATCGAATTAAGAAATTACGTGTTAAATCTATATTTTATATTTGAGTTATTACGATGAAGTATAAAAAGTGTCGCTGTGTAGATTCAATTTGCATATAAAATTAATAATAAACTTTGGAAAAATGCTATATATCCATTCTATATATCAGTGATTAAAGCCTTAAGACTATAGGAGTCAATAATAATAAATATTAAATCACAATAAAATATTTTAAATAAGTATTTCAAAAACACAAATAGTCTATAGCTAATCGATACATAAGAAAATAATTATGTATTTATCCCCGTACTCATAAATATATTAATCGTTTAATTTAGCTTTATTACGAACATTTTCCATGCAAAATTCCTACAATAAACTATCAACAACTTTATTAAGCGTTTATAAAAATGCGTTTGTCTCTCTAAGTTTTATATATTATATTTATTCGATATAGTATAATACCAAGCCGATATACTTGTTACCAAAAATTTAAACAATACGATTAATCTAAGTTTTAAATTACAAATATCTATCCCACACAATTCGAACTTGTTTTCTTTATAATACTGAAATGTCGTTTAAACAGTTATTGTAATTTATTGAATTATTAAAAGCATTGTATAAACTTACAATTTTTGTTACTTTATAGTATTATACGTGTTATAATACGATACACAATTGTGATGACGTGTTAAGATTCTATATTATTTTACTCTCGCTCTCTCTCTCTCCTATTCTTGTTTTAAAGATTCAAATCAGTGGTACGAGTATTTTTGTTGTCAATGATCCAACTGCTAAACAATTAATACTATAATGATTTGTTTATGATAAACCTTTTGCTATCAACAAAAATAAATGAATTTTAATATAACACCACCACCAGCATATAATTCATTTTATATTCAAGAGAGCGCAATAAACGCCGGCCGGCATTAATAATTACAATTAAATTAACTATTTTGTATATACAAACTCCTGCTCCATGAATAATAAAATTGTATATAAACAATATTTGTTAATTTTGCTTAGAGAGAAGTGATTTTTTAAATGGTATTAGTGCTAAAAAAGAAGAAACAATGGAAATTTGGAATTCTATTTTTCTTATTTTTTGTGGTTTGTTTAAAACCAAACAAAGAAAGTAGCTGCAAATATCATTCGAAACTTGTTTTTAGATACATTCGTCATCTGCACTTACTTTGTTTAAAGAATACAGGTTTTTTATTTTTGGCAACTTAAAATTTTGTTAACATGTATTTATGTACATAATATAAATTGTTAGGAAACAGTTTTTTATAGGTACTTTTAATAAAAAAGCAAATATTATGATTAAGAAAAATTTAAGATAACTTTATTAAACGTTTGCTTAAATTTTTCTTAATTATGTATACATTTCCGACAGCATTTTTGCAATTGTGTCATACCTATTTGTTTTTTTTTTTTCAATAATTGATGACTAATTTTGTCATTGATAAATATTCAGTATATATGTATATTTATGAATGTACTTACGAAGTAGCTTCATTAAATTATTGTTTAAAAAATATTAAAATTTTGTATTAATGTAGTCTTTAAATTTTATACAGTCAAGCATAAAACTATCTACATGAAAGATTTTAGCATAACAGAAAAAGTTCCAAATTTGAAGTTATGACCCTTTTTAAGTAAATGATCGATATGTACATACATACATACATACATTTAGTATGTTTTATTTGTAGTGTGTACCTTTGTTCCCTTTATTTTCTGTTTTCATTTTCTTATAAGAAAAATGACTGACATCAACAAACTTACTTATCATATTTTTATGGTGTACTATGTAGCACTTACACAAGAAAATACTTTTTGCAAGAGTCTGCCACGTTGATATGTCGTCCCATAGTATAGTCGTCGAACAAACAACTAGTGTATGCTGCTAGTGTACATGATACATAACTATAATACAATGTTTATTCTTCAACAAATAAGTATAATGAGTTTAATTTTAGGCATAGAAATGCTTTAGTAAAAAAAACTAATAAATAAAAAAGAAACAAATGCTTGAAATTTATAGTTTTGACTTAAAATCAACATCCTTGAACTTTTTTCAAATTCAGACAAAACAAATAACTATTTAATTTTATTTGAAACTTGTCGTTACGAATTGTTTTTCTTAAGATTTAAAGGGTTAATAAAGCAACATCCAACCATACGCACTCAAAAGTATATACAACATGTATATAATACTTATGTGCAAATGTATATATATAAATATGTGTACATATATACACATCGTGAAAAGGGCGACGTACGCAAAGTAGTAGTTGCTGGTCTTCCCAACCATATTTTTAAAATGAATAGTCATAAGGCTACAAAACGTCATCACAATTTTTTCCTTTTCCCTTATAAATAAAAAAATCATTTTCAATTTAATAAATCTTCACACAATGGTTTTTCTATTTTTTGCATTCATATTTAGTTAGCGGCATAGGTTGCGACAGCAGCAAATTTAACAGCGCAGCCTTCACCGCCATTGTTCGTTGCAATCAAAAGAAAAAACGTCGGCAAACTACTTGTAAAATAAATATTGAAAAAATTTGCACTTTCTTTTTTGCACCGTTTTCAAAGATTTTTATTTAAACTTCTTAATAAGTTATTTTATTGTTGACTCCATTACTTACAATTCCTGCTTTCAATAAGTTACTTTTTTAAGAGAAAAGAAAAATTACAGGAAATTTCTAATAAGTAAAAAATACACAAATTAAACACGGACAAAAAATTTTCACTGACTGCAGAACAAATATTGACTACTGAGTATATGGTTACTAAATACTGTCTATTTATTCCGGTATTCAATACCAAAGAAAACAACTGCTCAATCGTTTCATGGTTGTTTTTTATCGTACTAATAAAACTAAAGATGTGTTTTTTATATTGTAAATATATTTTAAAAATTTTATTTTGTTTCAAAAATGTATATACATATTAATTTTGTTTAATTAATGGTTTTGTCTAAACATTTTTATTTTTAATTTGTTAATTTGTAAATAATAAATTTTTATCAACTTTTTTAATAATTATTTATATTTATTTATTTATTTATTAAAAAATACTCTGTTACATTTTTATTAACTGAGTTTTAAGAATAATTTTAACATTTAATGAAAAAAAAAAAAAACAACAAATAATTTTGATTGATCAGTTATGTTAGAATTTCACATATTTATTTGCCGAATAAAAAAACCAAATAATATAATATCCAGCCAACCACTGAAGCTAAAAAAACTGTAAATCAAGTCTATAGTCTAGCCTAGTCTAGTATAGTCAAGTGTATAGTCTAGTCTGTACTAGGGTTCTATAAATCGACTTTCGAATAATCAAACAATCGACTTTTTGTCGAAAAAAGTCGAAGTCGACTATTTTGTTCCAAAAAAGTCGATAACACGACTATCGTCTGTGAAAAAAGTCGAAAAGTCGACTTTGTTAATAAAAGTCGAAAAGTCGTAAAAAGTCGATAAGTCGAATAAAGTCGAAGAAAGTCGAAAAGTCGTAAAAAGTCGAAAAGTCGGAAAAAGTCGAAAACTCGAAAATTGTAGAAAAAAGTCAAAAATAGTCGAAAATTTTAAAAAAGTAGAAAAAAGTAAAAAAAAACTCTAATATAGTCGGAAAAACTCGAAAAAAGTAAAAAAATAGTCGAAAAAAAGTCGAAAGAAGTCGAAAATAGTCAAAAAGACGACAAAATCGACAAGTCGGAAAAAGTCGAAAAGTCGAAAAAATTCGAAAAGTCGAAAAAAATTCGAAAAGTCGGAAAAAGTCGAAAAGTCGACTATTTATAAAATACTTATAGTCGAAAAGTCGACTTTTAATTAAATGAAAAAAGTCGAAAAATCGACTTTTCACAAAATGAAAAAAGTCGACTTTTAACTAAATGAAAAAAGTCGAAAAGTCGACTTTTCGTTTCAACTATAGAATCCTAGTAAGAAATGTTTAAATTTCATGTATTCACCCTGTTTTACACAAGATGATCTTGAATTTTTCGACAGTTTTTCTCGATGCGAGAATTACAGAAACGGGGCACTGGTCTATAGACTAGTGTATAGTCTAGTCTGTAGTCTTTGACACACACGATTTTGCTGAGATACCCCAATTCTAAGTACAAATAAAAGTTCATATAGAAAACGGTTTTGCTGAGGATCAGCAAATTTCCAATTGGAACATTGGATTTGTTGACGTCAACGGCGATAAATAAACAAATTAGTCGGCGGTGGCGATTGTATTCCTGCTCTGTGATATTATTTTTATTTTTTCAAAACAGTTTTGTAAATAAATGTTGCTAATTAAATAAGATGATAGAAATTAAAGCAAAATTGGTAAGAGCTGATGCTGCTATTTATGCCACTGGAGAACGAGTGGAGTGTTTAATCGAGTTTATTAATAAAGTATTTAATAATGGGACAACTGGGAATGCTGACAGTACCAACAATATCGAATGTCTGGCTTGGGCTTCAGTACAACTTCATTGTTATCGTAAGACCAATGCCAACGTAGGCTCTTCGGACAAAACATTAGAATTGACCGAAATGATAGGAAAAACGGCATTGGATGCCGTAACACAGGTGCCCGGCGATGTTATAATTGCTACTAAGCCAAAAATTCTGTTTTGTGATTTAAAATTACAACCAAATGAGTCAAAGATCTGTAAGTGTCAAAATCACCAGCACTGTTTCTTATAATAACATTTAAATGTTTTTTCATAGATTTTTTCAACGAACTGGTTCCGCGTGATGGTCCTCCGACATACAGAGGGCATGACATAAAATATTTTTATAAATTAACTATAGCCACTCAAAGAGTGAAATCGAAGGTACAAACTCTTACTGTACCAATTAGAGTTTTGCCCATTCCACTAATTGCACGTCCAGATGAAATGCCCATTACTGAGGAGACAAACGATGAGTTGGCACCAACAAATCCATTTTTGGAAAAGAAACATATTACGGAGTTGGAGATATCATGGCATCATTTGAAGGTAACTTGAAAAATTATACTGTCATTTAAAATATAGAATGACCTAATTATTCCATCCACATTTATAGAATGTTACTGCCCGACGTGCACCAAAATTTTATCGCATTTCAAATAAACGTGGATTTGTTGGACGTTTCTGTCTATTTAAGCCATCATACAAGTTGGGTGAGGATATAGTGGGTAGCTTAGATTTTGCTAATTGCAAGGTGCGTTGCATTCAATTTTCGGTAAAACTACAATCACAAGAAATACTGATTAATTCGACTGGCAATAAAAATATCACCAATGATTTAAACGACTCATCATCGGTCAATTCTCTTGATATAGCCAGTGTTGCAAGTGGAATTGCCTCAGATTTTATGCATAAATCGACTACATCATCAAGCACAGTATCCAAAGATAAGGATGGAAACAATGTAGAACCTGTGGGTAAAGTAACAACACATGCTGTTAATCATGAGGTGTGCTATGCGGTGTTACAAACACAAGTGGTGGTGCCTATACCTCTGCACATAACACCTTCTTTTCGTACTGAATCCGTGGATGTAAGATGGCGTTTACATTTTGAATTTGTTACCAGTACCATGATGGATTTTGGAAAGAAAAATCCGGAAGTCGGTGAACTGCAAGCACCTAGTGAATTACCGGTTGAGACAATGGTATGGAATTTACCCATAACAATATATTCGGCAAATCCCCTGCAGATTTATGCACCATCTCAGGGTCATACACTTTTAATAAAATAAACTTGGTGAGCATTTTAAAGAAATTCATTATATGTCTATGGGCATAAATCCATAATTGGTAAGTTCAACTACACATTTAAAAAAATCCACAACGGTGTGTTCGCATATAGATTGCAGTTTTATTAGATGAATAATTATTTTAACATTTAAATAAATATGTATGTATATCAATTTTTAAAGATTCTGAATCATATTTAACGTCCTACTTTACCGAGTTTGGTATCTGTTTTAGGATTTGCAGTTAAGTTTTGTACAGCCACTATAGTTTCATTTATATGCGTCTGTAACTCGCGAAGACTTTGTATTTGTAATAAACGCAAAATACGTACTGGGTAATCCAACGAAGGATCATCTTTATAAACAATATCGTTGCCTTTTTCAAATGGAAATGGTGTGCCAACAATTGGTTCACGATTTTTTGCAGCAGGTGATAGACGTTCGCGAACAATGCGAGCTATAGCTTCTAGCTGTACCAAATGATTAGGATGGTGAGCTACTTTTAATTTAGCTGCTAAGGCTCTTACTCCAGCAACAAAATCCTTATGGTTAACTGCAATAAAAAATATAATTAAAATAATTTTCGTGTACTTTTTCATACACTTACAATCCATATTATCGAAGAAATTTTCATTTTTTATGCACGGAGTAATAGATTTATTGACACTCTGAGCCATATGCTCAGAACTCAAAACTTTATAAGAATCGGGAGCATCTAAGAATTCTAAACGTATGGCATAGCTAAGTAGCCACGAAATATCCTCGAGTGGTGTCTCAAATTGTGGCATTCCCAAATCACTTTTGTATTGTGTATAAGCTTCCTCCCAGGCTTGCATATTGTCTACTCTACGGAGATTTTCGCGATCTTCAATTTTGTATGTGCGAATTTTTTGATCTTCTAGCCATAAAATAGTACTTGCAAAAACTTTTCGGTCTGCAGGAAAAATAATGTTAATATTTTTCTATTTACAGGCTTTATATAATTTACCATTATAGTCCAGTTTATCAGGAGTTGGATGCTCCAAGGCTTCTAATTTTATCTTCAGCATTTGTTAAATTCTTTTTTTGCAAAATATCTATTTCCCAAAAAAATATTTTCGTCAAACCGGCTGCAGTGTTGTCAACACAAAATTTAAGATTGTTATTAATTTAATTGTAAGAGATTGTAGATTTTTAAGATTAAACAGAACATCTATTACAATAATAATTTCTGATTTTATAAACTCTGGCAACTCTGTTCTTAATACACGTGAAATTTTGTTAGAAAAATAAACACAATTTTATTTGGATTAGTTCTTTAATAAAACAAAAAAGTAATTTAAAAAAATGGCTTTATCATCTTTGGAAAAACGCAAAAAAACAAAAGGTAACCAGTTTATTTAATTTTACTTGGAAATTTCATTAAAAACTTTTTAAAGTTTTAAAAAAACAGGAATCAGAGTCGGAACAAAACTCTTCTGCAGACGAGAGTTCAGATGAACAACTGGGCGGCGGCAATGCTGGCTGGGCTGATTCCATTGCTAAAGTACTAAGTACCACTAAACCAAAAACCAAGAAGACTTTGGTGCTATCCCGTGCTAAAAAAATTAAAGCGGGTGACAAAGGAAAAGTGGAAAATGATTATGGCTTTGAAGTGGATGGTGAAATCAAAGAGGAAAAACCCACTGAAGAGGAATTGGAATCGAGTTTAAAACAGACTAAAAACCAAAAACTTGAATTAAGAGTTAAACCATCTTGGAAAGATATTGAGCGTGAAAGAACTTTGCGCAAAGTAGCCACACGTGGTGTAGTGCAACTATTTAACGCCGTACGCATACAGCAGAAGGATTTGCAACACCAGTTAGAAGAAGCTGGTCCTTTAGATAGTCGTAAGGAGGCTGTTTTAAATAATATCAATAAGCGCAAATTTTTGGATGTTTTAATGAGTGGAAAACGATCCAAATCTGAGCCTGTGGATAATTTCGTTAAAGATGAGTTAAAGGAAGAAAGTGACAGCAGCGAAGATGAGGGAGCGGATGGTAAGAAAAAGAAATCGGAGTGGAGTGTTTTACGTGATGATTTTATGACCAACAAGAAAATTAAACACTGGGATGAAGAAGAAGGCAGCGATGAGGCTCAAAGTAATGACGACGATTAGATATTAACAAATATTACATTAAGTTTAATAGGTTTTAAGGTTTTTGTTTAAAAGTAAATATGTATGTATTTTTCTTAGTACATAATTAAATTGCTATTCTCTTGTGGATTTCAGAAATGGTAGATTTAATAAACGTGCCCCTCCTAATACACCAACACCTGTAATATTATTACGATTCAATTTAGTTTTCTATATTTTAATTGAAGCAGTAATATTTAAAACTTACCGGCTGATATAATATTCATGGTATAGTTTTCCCACCTTTTTCTGTGTCTAGCTTGATAATATATGTAAGCACTAACTCCAATTAAACCAAATCCGCTAATTAAACGGCACTCTAAACAATCTTTAGAATTATCACTCATATTAAAATATTCATATATTTATAAAATAATTTTTACAAAATATAATAACACTTTTGGTAAATTTAACTTCTTGTTAATAATACTGTCTAGGGCACAATTTTACAAGGTAGTGTTAGACAAACAGCTGATTATTTAATCTCGGTTGTCAGTTTGTGTTAGTATATTAATTTTAACAATTTAAGAAATACTAATTAAATTGGTAATTTTAAATATCAGTAATATAAATAATAATACATATCTTTTGTCAGGCGAATTCTTGAAAAGACAGTTAATTTTTTTATTCTTTTGTGATAAATAATAAATAACTTTATCGTGTATATGTGCAAGGGCGATATTTAAATGACATTTGTTTTTGTACAACTGTCACTACCTTATGATTATTCCATTGAATGTTGCCATACTAATATAAGAAATAAATGCAATATCATCTGGCGGTACTAAGCTAAATTTTGTAATAGATTAACAAAAAAGTAATAAAAATACTTTTATAACAGTTTAATTTCGAAAATTAATAGTATATAAAAGAGTTTGTTTTATTGAAAAAAGTCTTATGGAATACAAAAACTTTCCTAAAAACTACAGAAAAATTATTGTCTACAGAAAAATTATTAATGTTTACATTTAGTAGATATTTAAGACGCCGATACTTGCTCAGCAAGCCGCTGACTTAAATAGTTGCGTCGCCGCTGACTTAAATAGTTGCGTCGCCGCCGATTATTTTGAATCGGCTTGGTTTTCTATTTTGTTGCATTTCTTTTGTTTTTATATTGCAGAAAAAAAGAAATAATATAGAAAGAAATAATAAAACAATTAATGCGTATATTGACAAACAAAAATGAAAAAACAATAACTGAGTCACTGTTTTTAATAATTAACAATTGAAGTAAATTTAATCTGCACTGAAACTAAGATAACGAGACGCGTTCAAAAACCGGGTTTTCATCGGAGAGTTCAACTAGTAAATATAATGGTTAGCTTGAATCCCAACAGATTTAATATGAATACCGTAAGTTCTATTATTATTATATTTATGTTTATTGATAATTTGCCTTAATTTCATAGAGTGCACAGTACATGGATGATGTATTGGGCGAATCTTCTGCTGTTTCCAATAGTATGGGCAGTGACGTCGAACCCATTTTGTCTTCTGGCGGTAATGGCAACTTTAAGAAACTTAATACAATTGCGGCCTACAGGTATGTTTGGATTTCTCTTAGAGTAAAAGTAATGTATGTCATTTACACTGTTTTTTAGTATCCATTTAGTAGTTTCTGTTATAATCTCATTCGTGGGCATATTGTTGTCTGCGTTGTGGTCAGAAGAAAAACGAGGTGAAGCCTACTTCATAATGACATGTTTACGAGTGGCATTTTGGCTTCTAACATTTGTAAGTACAAGTTTCAATCTACTTTATGCACATTTAAAGATATGTTAAAGTATTTAGTAAGATTCGTTACTTTTCTAAAATTATCGGTCCATAGCTGTATGCAGCCTCCCCCCAAGCAAAGTCCTTGTAAGGTTTCTTTTAGTAGTTAGTGTATACAAGTTTTTTTCCCTTCAATAAACTATGTCCATATGTATGTATGTCTACATAAAAATAAAATGCGACAATGATGTGTGCTAATAAATATATTATACACTCAAGTTCTGTAGCATTCCATCTGCTATTTCAATATTTTTTCGATTTTCAGGTTTAATGAACCCATAACTCAAGTCAAGTTCGTTTAATTATAATCTTTCTGTCATTTTCTTAATTACATAAGATGGCATTTTTTTAATTGCATACATCATTCAGGCCTGTCACATATTCCGACCGGAATGGTTTCAATTCCGTAGTTGTTCTTCCTATAGGTTTTATTTTATTGATGCTAACTAAATTTAAAAAAAAATCCAATTTTTCACTAAAAATACAATTCTTCACAAAAAATAAAATTTTTTACAAAAAATCAAATTTTTTACTAAAAATACTATTAAAAACTTATTTAGAAAAAATATATGTATTTTCATTAAAATTTTAAAAAAAATGGTAAAAATATTCAAATGAAAATAAATAAAATATATAGACTTAAGACAAAACTCATTCGAGGTGTTCGTTTTAACAGGAACGTGTTCTTTTTTATGTAAAATTAAATTTTTTAGTTGTTTGATCATATGATACGCGGAAGACACAATGAATTAAGAATGAACGGCTATCATGATTTTCATCGTAGTATTGTTCGACTGAATGGTGTATCTTTAAATATTGTATCGGCCTGGAATACAATATTGTTAATGGTGCAGGCACTATTACATCATTTCTATGGAACACAAGAATGGGATAGTTGGTTTACACCTGTTACGTGTATAGCAATGTTCCAAATATCTGAAACACTGGTACTGGTAACGACACACAGTACTTATATTGGTAAGATTTAAATGTGATGTATGTTAATAGTAAAAATATATATATTTTTTTCATTTGCAGTTAAAGTTTATAAATTTAATAAAAACTCCAGTTGCCCAGATGCTTTGGCCGGCACAAATATGGTTGCCGGTTCGTTGGGACTTATGCAACCAGGCGGTAATGTAGCTGAACTATTAGAGAAACAGGTACATCGTTTTTATTTATAGAGTTGAACATTTTTTTAACAATTGCTTAATTTCCAGGCCGATCTTATTTCTTACCTTAAGGACCATAATCAAAAGTTGAATCAAAAATTACATCACATGCAATTAACAGCAAGAACTACACACTGAATAGATTATAATGAAACACACGACGAATGAAGATACGAAGTAAATTTTAGTTTTACTATTGTTACCACATTTATTATTATAAATAATTAATCCACATTGATAATAATGTATTTTTTCTTTTATTTTATGTTTTATTTCATGATTATTATTTTTATTTTTACTTTTAATTTTAATGATGCTACATTTTGTATGTACGATATATCAGTAATGAACGAATGACCTATTAAATATTATTTCAAATTATAAAAAAAAGAAATATGTACTAAAATTAATCGGTTTTATAAATTCATATTTGTATATATGCGTGTATTATTATAGAGATATTGAAGCAGAATTGCATTAAATATTAATAAAATATTTTTAATAAAACTAATTAGAAATTAAATATTAAAATTATTCATTGAATTATTAGTTTTTCGTGTAAAGGAAAATTTTTAATTTTAGATTGCAAAAAGAGAAAATAATTGATTTTTCATGATAAATTTTTAATTTATTTTAGTATTGTTTTTTAAACAATAACTTGGTATATCTGTAACTTTCATGGTATTATCCTTTGCTGAAGTGATAATCTGAAAAGAGAATAGAAATTATTTTTTATATAAAATTAAATGTTTATTATATTTATGTATATAGTTATACTTACCTTATCTTCGATAATTTCTAAAGTTAATATCATTTTGCCAGAACCAGCTAAGCGTCCCAACTGTTTACCCGTTGTTTTATCCAATATATAAATATAACCATCATAACATCCCACAAATATGTATTTATTGTTGTACATTTGCATGCTGACAGCTCCATTGCCACAGGTCATTACACCCAAATATTGACCGCTCTATTTTTTTTCAAGAAATGGAAAATAATTGTAAAATTTTAAAATTTGAAATGTTTTTTTTTACCACTTACCACAAAATCATATTTTCGTATTTCTTTCTTTTGTGTTCCACAATAGATGATGTCATCGTTTAAAAGTATACTGTATATGTTTATTGATTCTGGCACATCGAATGTACGCAATAGGAGACCAGAATTAGCATCTCTTAAGTGTATTAGATTTCCTTTAGAAGAGACAATTAATATTTTACGTACGCCTTCTTTTGTGGCCTTGATTGATATGATTGATGAGTCTGTGGAGCATAGAGGTTTATCTGTCAAGGTATTTGTCTAAAAATAAATTAAAAAAACAGATTTTTTTATTAATAGATGACACAAGTTCAATTTACAAAGAAGCTATTAAAACTGTTACTGTTGAACAAAATAGGTTTCTTATTAAAAAAGTTGTTTGTCAATATAATATAGTTCATGAGTTGATTCATTCTATTAATATATTAATCTTGTAATAAAATTTTCTACAATCTCAAACTGTTTCTGTTGAATCAATAAGTTATGAAAAAAACCAATTTCCCAATTTTTTTTGTCACGATCTGGGTAGATTATTTGTTGCTAAACATTAGAAAATGTACAAAAACCTAAACCAACTGGCTATGTACTTTATAGCAGAGATTTATGCCTGTATAGCACGTTACCCGCAGCTAACGTTAAGCATCGTTATTCTGCAATTGTATTAAATTTCCGGTTAAATCAAAATTCTGCTTTTTAATGGCATGGGCCCAGACTGCAGAGAAGAGAATCGTTCAATCGAATGTTATGTAGCCCAAAAGAACTTATAATTATAAAAAATAACATGACCAATACATGACATTCAAATTTAATGATTTCGGGTATATGGTACGTAGAACCATGCTGTTTCAAAGGGGTTTCTGATTTTAAAGGAAAAGTTATATAAATGATTTGGCAGCGTTAATCGATATTAAATGTATTTGACACGAACATATTCCGGTCGATCGTAGTTCGAAATTCATTAATTTTTATGGTCTTCAGTTTCGTAGAAATGCATGTGCAATTTCACTCAAAGTTACAGAAATATTTCCTTCTATTTTATTCCATACCACTTTGCGTCCCTCGCAATTGTTATAAGTCCGACTATTTCATTATGATTGGCAAATACTTGATCATATAGCCCTTTCAAAAGTTCTTTTAGAAAATCTGTTTAACTTAAAAATAAAACAGAAATTCAAGAAAAAATAAACCACATTTTAAATATAGGATAATTATAAAAAATTTCTAACAAAAAAGTGTAATTTTGAACATCCGAATTCGAAGAAATTTGGTACACACATTCCTTGCATTAATTCACATTTAAAAAATCTACAAATAAGTATTTCAAATTCGTCACCGTTTAGAATTTTATTTCAGATTTTTTTTTTAAAAAGTTTTCCTCAAAAGTTTAATATCAGTTTAAGTTTAGGATATTCTTTACATTTATCCCGGATATATCCTCCATACAAGGGAGAACAGCAGATCCAAAATAGAATTCCCTGTTCCCATTAAATATCGGGCAGTAACAGAGGAGATGAGATGTAGTCTCTTCCTACTCATTGTGACAACTTCTGCAGTAGTTATTGTACTGGAGACCCATTCTTCTGGCATGATTGCCAATAACACAGTGTCTGCGAAAGCTTAACAATAAGCTAGACTTAGGGGCATCATATAGAGACTAGGTTGACCTCGAAGTTAGACAGGTGGTTGTAAAGACACTCGCTAGGTTTTTGATTGTAGCTTTGCTGTCCGTATATACCTCAGCCAATTTACCGCTCGTTTATAGCAGATATCTCTGCCTTTAGAATGCTACAATAGTTAGGTAGCCTGAAGGAAGATTTGTTTCGAAATCTTTCAATGTAGAAGCCACCACCCAACCTACCGCTCCTTTTGGAGCCATCTGTGTAAACATTCGTTACATCATTGGGTGAGTGGTTCTCAGATATTGTGTTCCTCTTGGGAATCAGAATGGAGAAGCAAGCGTTTATCGAAGTGAGGTTTCGTAATGCAATAGTCAACATTTAAATGCAAGGATTCGAGTTGGTTTATTATTCGAGAATGCCCAATATTCCTACCACCAGACCAAGATCTACAGTATGAGGCTAATAAAATCAAAAATAAGTTTATACAGTCAGAAACAATGTATAGAAAATTAGAAGGGGTCTATGGGAGTATCTCAAGAAATAAAATAAATAATTTCCATACAAATTAAAAAACCAGTTTTATAGTTAAAAGCCATCTATCTAATCACGTTACTCATACCACATGTATTCCGGCTAATTTCATTAAGGATTACTAGTTGTATGAGTAATTTTTTATTTAATTGACATTAAGATTTCCTATAAAAATTTAAGATTTTTACGTTTTTTTTGGTTTTGCAAATAATGCAAATAATCTCTAATATCTTGCTTAGTGAAAACGGAACTAATGGTAACTGTTAGCCCCTTATTTAGGACCTCAAGACGAAACTTAAAATGCAATATTAATAAAATAAGAAAATAAATTGTAAAAAAAACTATGACCTAAAATTTCTAATTAGTCGAACTAATTTAATATAGATAGTTAAATGAGTTGACAAAAAAATTTAATAAAAAAAAGTTTGAAAAATGTTTTTACCAAATTCATTTTGACATGCAAAAGTCACAAAAACCTAATGCAAGAAAGGAAAAATGTAATTTGCTTTGTTAATAGTCTTTCGTTATTGCTGCAACTAAATAAATAACTAGAAAATAAATAGAAATATAAAAAATATAACACGTATTGTTTAATATATATATAGTTTATTTAAATAGGATGCCATTTTGAAAATAATATTTATAGTGTATTTATTATATGTATGTATGTAGTTAAATGCAACACTAGAAAACTCCTATAATATATTTACTTAATAGACAAAATGTTAGTCGCACCCATTTTCCACTTTTCTTTTATTATTTGCTGATGTTTATTTAAATGTATTTAGTAAATACAAGTATACAATTTAATATATACACATGCATACATACATCTAAAGACAAGAATATGTAGTGAAAATGCAATCATTATTGTTGTGCTGCTGTGAAAATAACAACACAACAAGGAACAATATTGCAACAACAAAACTGTTTGTAACAGCCAATAAGAAACAAGATTTCCGAAAAAAACAACGCCTACAAAACAACAACAACGGCAGCAATATTTTCCAGGCAGAAAGCTTAAAACGAAACAAAACTCAGCAGAGAGAAAAAGCCAAAGAATAATGAAACCCAATGCAATTTTCCTGTGAATATAAGTAGAGGTATGTATGTACTGCTGTTGTTTTAGTTTACTATTGCTAAACATTACAACAACAAAAAGAAAAACAGCAAAGCAGCAACAATTTTATTAGAAAATAAAAACATACATTAAAAAAAAAACAAATATAAACAAAAGAGTATTGTCCTCTGCACATTTACCCAAAAAAAGAGAAATACATAAGTAAGTGTGTAATGTTGTACTATAAAAATGTCTATAAAATTCTTAAATAAACTCAAGAAAAACTACAACTACTACTACCACCAGCTCCAATATAGAGTAGTGTATAATTGCAACCACAAGTGCAAGAGAAGACAGGACATGCGCACTCTATATTATATCCAAAACAATGCATTTTGTGGGAGATAGAATTGTATGTTGTATTAAAAAGAGAGCAAGTAGTATGAGTGGGAGAAGAAGAAAAAACAACTGTGTTGTTTACAAAACAATAGTTAAGTGCAGGCTGTGGGAAGGGGGATTATTTTAGGTGTATTACTTTTTATTATTGCATGTTGTTGTTTAGCTTTAGTTGTTTATTGGCATACAACAATCCTCTCACTACTATGAGTAAAGGCTGTTTGTGAGTGGGTATATGTACATATGTAAGGTTATGTGCATGTTATACTTGCATATAGAGTTTTAGGTTGTATATAGTTTTAAATAAATACAAAACACATATTTTTTTTGCAATTCCGTGTATACGAATCATATTTTGTTTTGGTCGTTTTTGTTTAAGACAAACTACATACAGATCAATAATACGTATACACAATATAATAAATATATTGCACACCATTGCACTTAGCTTAAATGACTCCACCTTTATATGTAAGTGTGAGTTAGGAGGGGGTCATTCCTTCTCTGCAATTCTATTTATATATAGAATGTAAGTTGTGTTGCTATGCATGTAAACGCCTGCTTTGTTTGTTTATTTATTTACAAGAATCTGTCATTAGTACATACATATGTACATATGTATAAAATATATAGTTGATGCAAAACTATATTAGTCAGATTAAGGGGTAAATTAATACCTTTATTTCTCTTACAGTAAGTAAGAATATAGTTTGGTTTAATTTGTTTAGATACATCTACGGTCCAGTCTATTAAATAGTCTACGGTCCTATTGCCTAGCATATAGGTAAATCTATGGATTAGCTATTGACTAATCTACAGACTAGTTTATTAACTAGTCTCTTGAATAGTCTTTTTACTACTTAG